CTAGGTCGGTGCGCCCCCAAATGTATGAAGGCGGCCTTTTGGGTTGCCGAAAATGACCCCCCCCCTGGCCAAGAGTTAGATCGGTGCGCCCCCAAATGAGGGCCGGCCTTCCGGGATGCCGCAAATTGCCTCCTTCCGGCCCAGAATTTTGTCGGCGCGCCCCCGAAGGAGGGCGGCCTTTTGGGTTGCCGAAAATGACCCCCCCTGGCCCAGAGGTAGGTCGGTGTGCCCCCAAATGAAGGCGGGCCTTCCGGGATGCCAAAAATTGCCCCTTTTTGGCCCGGAATTAGGTCGGTGCGCCCCCAAATGAAGGCGGCTCTTTGGGTTGCCGAAAATGCCCCCCCAACCCCCGCCCAGAACTAGGTCGGTGCCTGCGCCCCCAAATGAAGGCGGCCACCTGGGTTGCCGAAAATGACCCCCCCATGGCCCGGAGTTAGGTCGGTGCGCCCCCAAATGAAGGCGGGCTTTCCGGGATGCCAAAAGCCGCCCCCTTCTGGCCCGGAATTAGGTCGGTGCGCCCCCAAATGAAGGCGGCCTTTTGGGTTGCCGAAAATGCCCCCCCTTGCCCAGAATTAGGTCGGTGCGCCCCCTCATGAAGGCGGCCTTTTGGGTTGCCGAAAATGACCCCCCCCTGGCCCAGGGTTAGGTCGGTGCGCCCCCAAATGAGGGCGGGCCTTCCGGGATGCCAAAAATTGCCCTCTTCCGGCCCAGAATTAGGTCGGCGCGCCCCTAAGTGAGGGCGGCCTTTTGGGTTGCCGAAAATGACCCCCCCCCGGGCCCAGAGTTAGATCGGCGCGCCCCCAAAGGAAGGCGGGCCTTCCGGGATGCCAAAAGCCGCCCCCCTCTGGCCCAGAATTAGATCGGTGCGCCCCCAAATGAAGGCAGCCTTTTGGGCTGCCGAAAATGCCCCCCCCCCTCGCCCAGAATTAGGTCGGTGCGCCCCCAAATGAAGGCGGGCTTCCCGGGATGCCAGAAATTTCTCCGCTCAGGCCCAGAATTGGGTCAGTGCGCCCCCAAATGAAGGCGGCCTTTTGGGTCGCCGAAAATGCCCCCCCTCGCCCAGAGTTAGGTCGGTGCGCCCCCAAATGAAGGCGGCCTTTTTTGGGTTGCCGAAAATGCCCCCCCCTCGCCCAGAATTAGGTCGGTGCGCCCCCAAACGAAGGCGGGCCTTCCGGGATGCCAAAAATTGCCCCCTGCTGGCCCAGAATCAGGTCGGTGCGCCCCCAAATAAAGGCGGCCTTTTGGGTTGCCGAAAATGACCCCCCCCCTGGCCGAGAGTTAGATCGGCCCTATTCCAGAATTAGTTCGGTGCGCCCCCAACAAGAAGGCGGGCCTTTTGCGATGCCAAAAATTGCCGTCTTTTGGCCCAGAATTAGGAAGGTCGGCGCGCCCCCAAATGCAGGCGGGCCTTTTGGGGTGCCGAAAATGAGCGCCCTCTGGCCCCGAATTAAATCGGTGCGCCGCTGACGGAAAGCGGCCCTTCTGGTTTTGGGGTAGCCAAAATGAGCCCCACTGGCCCAGAATTACGTCGGTGCGCCGCCAACGAAAGGAGGGCTACGCTTTTTCGAGTGCCAAAAATGAGTCGCCTCTGGCCCAATTGAATTAGGTCGGTGCGCCGCCAACGGAAGGGTGCCCCGCAACAGCCGCATTCCGGGCGTAAAATTTGACCCGGAGCTCCCTCGCTGAGGCGCTGCCCGGAGGCGGGCCGCTTCGAGTGTCCCAAGTCGGCCTGTTTGAGCCCCGGCTTTGCTCACGGCGCCGCTAACGCAAGCGAAACATCGGAAAGCCACTACGACGTGCCGGACTAGCGCGTGCATCTCTCCCCGCTTCAGTGGCTTCACCTTTTTAAGGACGCTCCCCAAGTCTTTTTGTTGCTTGCTTGCTGTCGCTTCTGATCAGAATGTAAATCCACCTATAGTACACTTCCGGGTCATCTCGCAAGAGGAATATACATCGCAGCTTTTTCTCATCCTGATGGGTTTCGCACCGCATGAGAGACTACTCGTGCGGCGACTCCACCAGCCTTGCTACGCGTTTCGGCTTCCACCATCGATGCCCATACGCACCACCTCGCTTCGACGTCTCATCCGTGCTGGTGATCGTGAAGTAAATATATAATTTTGGTTTTGCACATGCGCCACCATAGACCAATCTGTAGTTTTCTGACTCTGCCTGATGCTTCACAACACGACTCCATTTTTTGTTCATCAGTGTTTCAGCGAACGCAAAATATCTATCAATGCGAGGCGATGGTAATCTTCATCCAGGACATCAATATGACTGCTGGCGATAAAAAAAATTTTCTCTCATCTCCTTTTATTTCCCTCTCTCTGCAATTTCAGCAAAATGGATGAAAAAATAAAAATGACCGATGAATATACGGGTGAGAACAAGAAGAAAATACGATATAGATTTTACCCGACCATGAACGATGAATACGTGGCCAGAGTGATCACGTAGGTTAAGTGCCTTGACAGGGTTGGATAAGTGCCGTGCTCAGATTCGCATTCTAATTACTCTGAGGTCCCTACTGAACAGGTACGTCAACCAGAAACGAATTGTCTGTCCAGATGTGCGCCCGACCACGACTACAGGACAAAAGATCACTTTTACGACAAAAAACGACGAATGGAACGAAAATTCCCGCTGAAAAGAAATATATCGAGGGAGAATCGTTTCTACGCATTCTCTTGAGCTGCGATGGTGCTTTGCAACATAAGTAGGCGAAACCACATTCATCCGGAACCGTTCCGAATTACTGGAAGTCATCATATCTTCCGATGTTTCATTTCCACCTGCAGTCGAGTGGTTTCACGTAGACTTTCTTGGAAACGAATGGAAATCTTGGGGTAAGTGATTCCAAATTCATCTTGTTCCTCGATCACATCCAATCTTCACTTGCGCTCGTGGTGTCATTTAAACGCCGTTTTACGCACAACAAACTTGACTTCGCTACAATTGCTCGGCAACATACAATGTGTGTTGCCAGGTTGTATCAGTCAATTTGTGAATGAAAGTGTGATTATTTGCGGCAACGACAACCAGAGTGGCATAACAAAGATCATGCGAAGGTGTTGTATTTTTATAAGTTGTATAAATGTTGATGTTCCCATATCAGATCCGCACGATCGGCGTCGCGCTAGTGATGCTCCTGTTCATCTATCTTACACATTCATATTTTCAAACCTGAAACGGAAACTGAAAAATTAGAATATCTCAAGCTCAACGTTCATACAATAGTTGCTACGCTTCTAATGAAATACAAATAATTCGTGATCGTGAGTAATATAGGCGGGCCTCGGGGCTTAAATACTTCTCTCACGGAAAAATGCGACGACTGAGGACATTCCAAATTTAAATAGAAACCGCTTCATAGGATTCGAGATCGAGGCTCACACTGAATATAGAAAAACTTTCGAATTGTTTGCTGAAATCCACTTGAGGCTTTGGTCGTATGTCGCGCTGTTCACAGAAAAATAACTACTTCTCCATGAAAAGCAAAAGTTCGTAGACAAGTGCACTTGTCGAGAGCTTGCATAGAAGACAAAGGAAACAGGTGCTCAAGGATGGTATGAGCTCCTCCGCCTATTCCTCTTCTTCACCCCATCCCCATGCAATGGAAACATTAACATTTACATGACTTGTTCTTTTTCTAAGTACTGTCCTCCTCTTGCGTCCACGTCCGTGTATAATTGCACATTTGGCAATTTTTTAGTTCCTTCTCCTGCGGTGGGAGAAGATATCGCCGGAGCGTGATACTTCTATTTTCAGAGCGATAATATGAGGTGGTATTTATTATATACTGATTCAAAAAAATCTTGAATGATCAAATTTGAAACGTTTTAGCCGGACCAGCTGGAGTTTTTTGGCGTCTGACATGCGCGCACTACGGTGCGGCGGCAAAAGATTTTTTTTCATTCTGACGCAGATAAATGTAAAACCAGTAGAGAAAGGGCTGGTAATACGCCGGAACGACGAAAGTAGATCTATATTCCATTGCTGATAATTCTGATCACATTTATACTTAATCCAATACGCTGATAACTTAGCTTAATCATTCTTGTTGCTGTATCGAAGTAAGCCACTTGCGATTCGTATCTGTCGAGTATACTCTCTGCAATATTCTCCTCCCAATTAATTTTGCTGCAGCGTGAAGGTGTGAGAGAAACACTCAATTTGCATTTTCCAACCTGCGATGTATACATGTCATAGGAGCACTGGCATCTGCATCTTGTCATATAATTTTCGCCACAGATTATTTACATCGACGAACGCCGAGGTATGCGGCAGTTACGTTGTAGTAAAAGTTGCGACAGACCTCTATCCGGAAGATAACCGTGGTAAAAATGGATACGTCGACTAATCGTTTGCTTAATTTTGCACTGCCTGACCCTGACCGATGCAGAAACTACAATTTATCATTTACATCCATGATTACTTGCGCTTCACCGATCAGAATGCAAAGCGTCGTCCTATGGTATTCAGCGAAAGCTCGTAGATCATGATTGCCGTGTATCGCACTGCTGCCACGACGAAATTTAATTTCGACACACGTACTACATAAAGACAAACATGCGGAATATCACGTACAAATATTGTTGCACTTGCTGCAACTGACCCTACTTGAGCTAGCAATGGCGTTCGCGCTTCGCTGGTGGGGGTTGGAGTTCCCCTGCGAGGTCCGAGGTGTGGTACTCGAAGCTGGATCGCTTGTCCGGCGACTGGCTCCTCTTGAAAACCAGGTTGTATTGGTGATTTCCACGCAGCCCGAGGGTCTCGGTCTTGTAGCGTTCCGCGCGGGGGCGGAACACGTACAGGTGATCTTTGGACACCTCGAGGACCGTGTCGTGCCACGCCTTGCAGATATTCGGTTTCGATCCTCGGTTCACTTTTTCGACCTTTACGATCTGCGGTTTGGCCGCAGTGTCCTTTTTGTTGTTCTGCGCCTTCTCCTCCATCGAAACCGGCACTGCTGTATCCTTCACTTGCATGCCGTCCGCAGTCGTTGCCCGCTTCTTTTGTTGCCCCCCAGGTCTGACTTTTACGACCTGCAGCTGCGATGTGTTGGACAGTTCGAACTTCCATTCTTCCGCCTCCAATCAAGTTGAAAACAGTTCCCTCGCATCTTGCAAAAAATCTTCTTCGTCAATTCTTACATTAGGCAAACGTAGTGTGGGAAAGGTGGCATGACAAAGTATCTACATACTTCTTCCTCTTGTTCTAATTTAGACTTTTTACGAGAAGAAGAAGATTAGCACAAGATAACAGATTAGTGTGCATGCAAAGGACGGCTGAGGTACTTACTCGTTCGCCGAGTGCTGCACATGCATGATTCTGCGGGCCAGGGAAGTATTTTCAACATGATACCCTCTGGATTTTCCTGCTTGCAGACGGTTTTTCCGTGATGCAGTGGTACACGACTACCTTCCTTCGTTATGCATTGCAAATATGTCTGAGTCTGGAGATTTGTGATGTTAGTGTGTGCCCAAGAAAGCGAAATAATTGTAAACCGCCTTCTAGTCCGAGCAACGCATGACGCATTTTTGAGCTGCTAATGGTAATTAATCAATATGAATGTATATGCCTTTCGTAAACGCATGAGAAATTGCATCAGTCCAAAGGCATGTTGTCAACATTATATTTTCTAGTGGAGAGCTGAAAGGAAACTGAATCCCAATACGCATGACAGATTTTCGTCTGCTGTTGCCGCAGAGAGAGAAACCTCGCAACCCTCCACACCAAAACATATTCGCAATGCATACTCCGGAAGACTTTACCAAATGCTCCAGCGCCCCCTGCACTTCTACCCCAGTACGGACGGATCGGATGTCGGTTCCGGGCTGTTTGGATTTCATGTCTGAATCAGTAGCTCAGTTTGATCTTTATGGCCCTGGAAAAAATGCGTATTGCTTGTTATTGGTATTGCTTCGATCGTGGCATAAGAAACAAAAGGCTACTTAAATCAAAAACGACTCCTGCTTTTAAAAATAAGTATACCTGGTCCTGAACTGCCACGACGCCAGTGACTTTTGCGTTATCGTGTCCCGAGGCAGGCCGCGCAACTAATTCCGGTCTTCCACTCCCGATCTGCTGAATTTTCTCGGCGAGCTGGTGCGGGCTTTCAATTTGATCTGCCACAGAGCGGCTCTCGTCCTCCGGCTTCTTGTTCTTCCCCTGATCAATAATGCGTGTAGTTGTACTATCAGCATGTAATCATGTAAAATCATGAACATGGACATAAAATCAAGTAAGTATGAAGATCTGTGCGCTTGAGTCGACTTGGTGAAGATATCGTCCATCTCAATCCTGATACTACATGATCACATCAACGGTGTGGAATAAACTTCGTCAGTACCTCATTCTGTTTTTCATCCGAGATCGCTCCGCTAGCAGCCATCGCAGCCCAGCGCTTCGCGTACTCCGCGGCGTTTTCTGCAGTGACGAAAATTGTCTTCGGAGTGAACTTGGAGTCGGAGTTGGAAGAGGCCATTGTGATGCCTTCTTCGCAGAACCGCTTTCGGGTTTCCGCTATGCTGCGCAAAAATAATACCGCGCTCGTAGTAGTTGCAGTCATACATGACAAAATGAAAATTCCTTTGCAAGGTAAAACAGCATTACAACTTGCATTGATTTGTCATGCTAAGCTAATTTGTACGTGCAATTTTTCCGTAGTACGACATCACCTTTGCACTGCATATCGGAACTCAAGGACGAATACTCGCTGCAGCGCTGAGCCAAATGGCCAGCGAGCCACTGTTGGGTTTGTTGCAGGAAAGGCAGTGTTTGTTGGATGTTTGCCGCGCGTCCGTCCGATGCGAACTTTTCGAGCTCGTACTGAAATCCAGGATTGGGACTGATGATCGGCCGCACGATGAGGAGGGTTGCTAGCAAAAACTCGAGGTCCTCCTTGCTCAGGCCGAACAGAGTCAACAGGTATGCTAAAAACAACGTCACCGAGCGACTGCAGCCGATAGCACAATGAATGTACAGCAATATTCCGTGTTCGCGCTGCGCAGCCCCGCTATCACGCACCAGGAGGTCCAGGTTGTTTTCCACGCTGGTAGAAGTTGAAGTGAACGTGGATTTACTCGAGGGCACAAACCTGTTTTATGCATGTGGAATCATTTGAATTGTGGTTTGATGCGCTGCTGCGGCGATGCAGCATTTTTCTCCGGAAACAATGCATCCCAAGCATCTTCAAGGAACATGAACAAGAGAGCCTCACATCATGTGATGGACGCTCGATGATCCACAAAAGAATAGTACCGGCTTGTGTGGACGGTATTCTGCTGCTCCAGATGCTCCAAGCATTCCCGCAGATGCGCAGCCGAGGTCGTATTGAAGTCCTCGATGTCCATTTTCGCTTGCGTTCCAGTTGCGAGCCGGGAAACTGCTTGGTGCTGCAGCTTGACGGCGCGGGCGAATTCAGCCGCGAACGCCGGCGCTGAATCCTCGTGGTCCGAGATGTTTCTGATGTGCTCCAGTTGCGCTGTGGGGTCTTGGACTGTGACCGCGCAAGCGGCGAGGCAGTGGGTGATCGTTTTTCGCAACGCCGCACTGAACTGGACCGCGTGGTGCTCAAAATGGTCGCAGGGGCCAAGTTATAGCAATAGAAATTCCCCTCGTTCCGGACCTGGATATCCGGAGCACTTGCTCCTCAACAAAAAATAATGATTCCCAATGCAGGTTTTAGAAGTAGTTGACGTTCACGACACAACTGGGGGCATCTACATTTCTTGAACAAAAATGCACGACTCCGACATCATGCGGCATGCACGATGTACGACGACTCCGCATGCGGACCTTACCGAAGGAACGTGTATAGCAGGTCCTAAATCTAGATGTCATGTTGAGAACCATTCTGCCGTCTGATGCCTAGCATGTTCTTCATCGGGAAGGAGGGGCGCTTCTAGTGCAATAGGATCACAACGCCTGGCACGATCATCGTTCCGTAATCGGTACTGTTTTCAACAGTTCTAATCCGGTTCCGTACTTGCCTTGTAACTGATCGCTTCACCACGACCTGGCAGCGTTTTATTTTCAACTGCAGTGCACAACTTTAACTTTTCTTGCCTGCAAAACACCAACGCATGGATACACTTGGGCAACAAGTTGTAGTTTTCATGAATGAAGAAGGTTTTTTGGTAATGCAAGAACACAAATCGATAAATGAAGACGAAACCCAAACAAGGACTACCTGCCCCTCCTGCTCCACCTTCTGCTTCTTAGGCTGCTTCTCCGTTGATGTCGAACTGGAGCTAATATTTGCAGTGCCATGCTGGCTCACATTCCCGTTTTTCAATTCCGCTATCGACTTCATGGCGCTGCTAGTACTGGAAGCCGAGCAAACCGATTTGCCTGTGGTCACAGCCGTCATTTCGGCGTTTTGCTGTCGCCCGGAAACCTAAATGTCAGAAATTTGCTTTGAAGATGATAAGGATTCGAGCTGCATGGAACAAACCTCGCCGAGATGCAAGAACTACGAAGGAAAGTTATAAGTAAAACTTCTTCGCGTGAAGCAAGCAACCCAAAATACCTTCCCATCTCCGGCTCTGCTCCCTTCGGGTGCGAAAGCGAAACTTGTCTGTGTCTTGTCGCCGGCGCAGGCCGAGGGGGCGGAGGTGAGCACAGTACTTGTAGATGCGCTACTCGATGCAGACCACTTGCTTGCAGCGTTCGTCACGTTCTGGATATTTTTTATCGCGTTAGCGTTTTAGGTAAAACTATAAGTTTAAGCTCCATTTCTGATAGATCAAGCCGTGTCCATTCATTTTTCGTTTGCATGCAGAACGACATCACAGATTGATCCTGGTAGGCAAAACTCCAAACCTAAAGATGTTCATGCGCAGACGCATCGGCTTCGCTGCGTAATGACGTACCACTGCAAAGAGAAATAAGACTCACACTACCTATGGCATCAATAGTCGAGTTGCTCTCGTGTCAGCATATGTTTGTAGCAGCGAATTTTATTTCCTGGAAGTTTATTATTCAAGTGATCTTTATACCTCTTCGGATTTCGTCTTGACGGTGGTGTCGCGTACGAGGAGCAAGTAGAACAAGGTCTTCGTCAGCTCTTTGTTCTCTCTGAGATCATGACCATCGGGCGCATTCGCGTTCTTCTGGTTCAGCCCGAACTGCACCTGCACCGGGCTTTCGAGCTGAAAGAACAGTTTCTCCAAAAATTCGATGTCGCGCACCGGTAAGAGAGCTAGTTCCTTCTGCGCCTCCAGCAGCAATTCCGCTTTCACTTCCGTCGCTTCATTGCCCGTGAGAGATGACGCGTGTTTCTCGCAAGCTGCCAAAAGCGCCCTGGGGGTGGGCGAAGCTCCCGTGGCGCCGTGGTTGATTTCTCGTAGGACTTGCTGGAGAACCTTCTGGTGCTTCTCGAGAAAGGAGAGCAGGGAAGAGTCGTCGTTGGAGGTGAAAACTTGTTCCTGCTTGCGAAACAGGGAATCAACGGCACTGTCGACCTTGATTGAGTTGTATGCACCAGATAAACCACGTTATTGAAGCAAAGTTAAAACGCAGTACAACGAACAGCGACATGCAAAAGAGGCGTAAGCAAGAAAGCTTTAGACGATGGCGAGCGATTAGGTTAAAAATTTCAAATCGACTTGCAAACCTCTACCTCCTCGATCACGTTTGTGTGCGTCTGACTAGTCGCGTCCCGTTTGGGGATACTTGCATCGTCGGTCTGGGCAGAAGAAGATGTCGCTGTAGTCGTGGTGGTCACCTTTATTCATTGCAAATGAAGATTCCTGCAATTTTCTGGTCTTGAGCTAATAGTTCTGCCACTGCTTCTAAATAAAACAAAGGGGGCAAAGGTAGTTGTCGTTCCTATATAAAAATATTGAGTGACAAAGACACGAATGGATTCCTGGACAAGGAAGGCAGCAAATTCTTTGACACATTTTTGCTCCCATTGCGCTCGGTTAAGATGTCGCGCAGACATGCTTCCTTGGCTATGCATATGCATATGCAAGAACATTGCAATTATTTCCATGCTTTTTCGCAAAAGATGTTTTTCTTTGCTTCGCAATAGATCTCTACTTGTGTCTCTACTCTTTGAACATAAACGCAAAATGAGAGGGAAAAAACTATTTCGTACCTTGGTCGATCGCACCAATTCCGTCAGCCGCCTGATTTCCTTCTCTATCAAGCTGACATCTCTTTTTACGCCATGAACCAGCTCGTTGAGCCCCTGCAAAACCTCCTCCATGATCGTGGAGCTATTTATTCCAAGGGGAACAAGTGCCACAAAAACTATTGCAAAAGCAACGCCGTCTACTACTTTGCTCCGGTTCTTCTCTTTCTAATTTATTGTGGTCCTGTTTTTTCTATCTCGTAAATAATAATTTTTCAATGATTTGCGACTTCTGCGTCAATCGAAGTACTCGATATTGGTGGTTCTTAGCTCTTCGACGTCCATTGCCTCAAGGCTTCGTTCTCCTCTCGTACTACTTACTCGTCTGAAGGTTCTTACGAAAGCTGCTGTAAAAGTTGAAGTGGTTGTTCCACTCGGGAACACCATGAACGCGGCTCCGGCCGCTCGAAAGACTTCGCACAAGAAACGAAGGTAAATACGCAAGTCGAAAAATAAACTCCGAAACGAGTACGAGGTGAGCGACAATTATTGAACCAGAACGCCAAGGACGCAGCAGTACGCTTCACATGCTAAAGCGACGCTCGCTTCACACAGATGCAACGGAATTCTCTCACAATATCAAGTGCAAGCATACATGTACCTATTAATTACAGCAAGCTATCGCTCCATCGCCAACCCCTCAACCAGTTAGGACCAAGAAGACCGAATAACCGTCTTTATCAATTTAGAAAAAAAAATAGATCTCGTTGCAACGTTCCCGCTTACGAGCTGCGATAAAAAGGAACAAAACATACTTCAATACTTAGATCGAGCGCGCGGCCCCTGCAATTATAGATCAACGCTGCAGCGGCACGGCAAACATGCAGGCCGCGCTGTCCGGCCCCATTGCTCGCAGCAGACCCCGCAGGGCGGGACTGCGCCACAAGGACGCGCCCAACAGACAGTGGCGGGGCCGTCCGAGGGCCCGGCCCGACGGGCTGCGTCGACAAGTAGCAGCCGGAATCAAAACATACGCGGCGAGCCGCTGCTCACAGAGCCCAGAAGGCCCGAACCGCTGCAGGGGCCAGTGGCGCAGACGGGCCCACAACGAAGCAACACCTTCGCGGGGCACTCGGCCCGCCTTTGTGCCCCAGCATTCGGGGCATCGTTTGCTTCGAGCCTAGACGACGACCCGGGGCCTCCTATTCACTTTCGAAGGCGGCGATCTGGGACCTTTTTTGTCCCGGCCGCTAGGACGTGGGCGAGCGATCGTTGCGGCCCCAAGCTGGGCACCGAGTCGCCAGGGGTGAAGTGGCGGCATAGCGACAGTAAAACACCGGTCAGACAGGCCCGGAGCCGGCGCAGCTTTCCCATCACCTCCCAGGGAAGAGCGGGCAGGATATTTAGACGGGCCACCTTCATCAGCACGGAGGCAACCCGACGCAGCGGAGGTATTGCTTGCGTCCGGAAAGGAGTCGCCATTCACCAACTTCTCCAACTTTGCGCAGACCGGCACGCCATGCCTTCATGCTCCGAATCCGTTCGTCGCCATCGAGCTCCGCCATACTTCCTGCCGAGAGATTTCGGGACAACGCAATACGGTATCCCGATAACACTACGTCGATATCACGAACACGATATGCTAAGGATAGGTCGTGATCTATTCCGAGGGAGAATTTCTACCTTTGTTACCTCGGGCAAGAAGTCAGAGTAGCCTTATTCCCTCGGATTATTTTTCGTGGTGCATGTGCGCTTGACTTATCATAATCTGCTACGCTCGATTATCACTCTCTCGACGAACAACAACTCTGCTCCCCCCTCCGAACAGAACGCACCTTGGAAGAACACAGTGTGGCCTCGCCGAACTTCTGGAAAGACACATTTTCAGAAAAGAGTTCTCCAAATGTCATGAAACAGAAATGCGCGGTAATTATGATAAAATTTCGTCACGATGTACATGTTATGTAGTCTAGTACTTACGTCAGTCTTAACTTCGCTTGATCACAAGGAGACGATAGAGTCGGTGTCGGACCCTCCAGTTTGAAACGCTAGTTTCAAAGAAATGGCAATGCAGCTAGCAGATGATTTAATACACTTTCACTGAAATCTGCCTGACCATGCGGGCGGGCTCTTTGGCTTTGCCCGGTTGACCATACCATCTGCTGCATTGGCCCGCAAGGATTGATCAACACTGCACCTGGCCTCCTGTCTTTTCGCTGCCGGTCGAACAGTCGTACCGGTATTCCCGGGCAGAAGATCATGCCCCGCTTGTCCCGCTCCTGCCGCCATCCGCGAAGATCCTCGAGGATACGCCGTGCTCTGGTCGTTGGTGACGCTGCGGGAACTTGGTTGTGATTTGCCGTCGAACTCATGAGGACCGCGTCGATCGGAGGAAGCAGCTCCTCGAGCGATTACACTAGATGCGGTGGCAGACACCTGCGCCGTGTCGTTCTGCTTGCCTCCACACCCCTCCTCTTCCGACGAGGACAGGTACTGTGCAGGAATGGGCTGTCCCTGGTATCGCAGGCAAGAAAAATAATCCTCATCATGTCGACACAATTTGTTACTCTTTCAAGCTCAGAAGAGTGAGGAAGGCCGAGAGCGAGAGTCGATCTTTATTTCCATGAACGTGTAAAAAGCACACTTCTGCGTCGAAGTTGTACTCGAAGTCGAATCGCAAATTCTTTACAGATGTCGTGACACGCTAGCGACACCAACACTCTGCATTAACTGCATGGCCACACACGACGCACATAAGCAAAACTGAAAACCATCTTATCCTCTTGAACATGAAGAAGAACATTTTTCCGCCATATCAGCTTTTGTGCCCGCTTCCGCATCATTGCACGCAGGTTCGGGTCCTGGCATCGCTTGACGGATGGTTTTCCAGAATTTTTCGACGCTGTAGTGGTCGCGGTCGGCGGCGGCGGGCGCGATGAGGTGGTGGACGAGCTTCCTGGATCATTTGCTGCTTTTGGCAAATCCCGAGTCGATCGACTCTGAAGAGCGCTCTCGTTGCAAGAAACTTCATTCTGCAGCGTCCGGCCATCCTGATAACCCGCACCTAGACCTATTGCGGTGGTCGCGTCGGCGCTATTTGTTCCGCTGCCCCCGGTAAATCGCGCTTGCTTTGCGTCTGCGTCCGCGTAATGTCGTCCAAAGGCTTTTGAAGTCGAAGGTTTTTTTCCAGCATGAATGGTAGACCCAGTCGGGTGCTTCGAGTAGGAGACCTGACACGGTGCTCCGCTTTTCCTTGTGAAAGCTTCTGCGGGGGGAGCAGGTAAAGAACGTCGGTTATCAAGCGTTAATGACGCTTCGGCAGACGACGTGCTGCACTTGGGCAACATGTCAACAAGGAAAAGCTTTTTATCGGAGGACGGAGGTGGACGCCTTACTTCGAGGTTGTCTTGTTCCATTTGCCGGGAAGATTGGGCTGTCACCCAGGGAAGTGGTTGTGCGACGGTTTTCTTCTTACGCTGTTCTGGTGCTGCTGGTGCTGGTGATTTTTCGGGAAAAGTTGTAGGTGACGCAGCGGACGGGGACGAACTTGGCATTTCTATTGCTGTGGACACTAGCAAATGCTCGGACCCCGTTCCGTCTGGCGCTGTCGTGTCAGCGGGGATTTGCATACCACAGTTACGCGTTGCAGGCGAGTGCCCCTGCAAAGCCGCACTGCTCGAAACATAAAGGCTCGATGTACTACTTCCGCGGTTGTCCTTTGCGGCACAACCTTTCGTACCCCCCGCTGTCATCTCCCCTCGTGAACCTTCTTCTGCTACCTCCACCACGGCTGCCGCACCACGAGTACTAGGCACTGCGTTCCGGTTGTTGTCGTTCCTGCCGCGCTCAATATTAATGCCGAGCTGGCCGGCCTTCTTTCGGTAGAGCGCGGCCAGCCACGGGTCCTCGAGGGTCGCGTCATGGTGCTCAAAATCATCGTTCTCCGCCTGTCTCGCCCAGTAGCCAGTACCCGGGACAACTAGTTTATTCTTCGAGCTCTTCTGTAGTAGTTCTTTTCGCGGAAGGAAATCATTTCTGGTGCGGTCATCGTCTTCTTGTTTCATCTCCTTTCCACCACGAGGAGATGAAAACTCCTTTGCCTTTGAGGGAGACTTCCCCGGATCGTGGGGAAAATATTCTTCATCACGATTCTTTTCTCGAGCAGTTGCAGCATTTTTCATGCCGCGCGGCGATTTCCGTTCCTCCAGTCGTCCGGTGGAACAACTTGCTTTACCGTCATGCAACCCGCGTCGTGTGGTCGACGTTGCACCGAAGGGATCTGTTCGATATTGGCAGAACGACAACATCTCAGCCGCATCGGCATCGCTGGTTTCCGCTTCATCTATCTCGCTCCATGTCGCCGCGAATGACACAAGCGGTCCGATGCTAGTTGCTTCTGCGTCATCTTCACTTCCCGCAACATCGGATGAGAGCAACTCGTTTTCTGTTTCGCAGCGGAAGACGACGAGATTACCTTTTCGCCGTTTCAACGTGGTCCTCTTTTTCCCAGGCCCGCTAGTGCTTTTCTTACCGCACGTTTTGCTCGTGCGCATTTTGGAAGATCCCTCTCGACGTCGCCCTGACCATGATCTTTGCCGTCGCGATTCCAAATCTGCGGACACGGCTTGAATTTTCCTCCTGGCGAGATCTTCCAACCGCTTGAGCTTCTTTTTTTGTTCCAGAGCTAGAGAAGTACTACAATGTTGAAGTCGATGATGTTCACAATCTCTTACCACCGAAGAAAATTCTCCTGCCTTTTTGTCCACGTTCGGGCGGTCATCAACCGTAGGGGTGCTGTCCGAAAACAAAACCCCAAAAAGCTTTTCGCCCTTACCTGCTTGAAAGCAGCGGTAGAGCACGTCTTTTCGGAAATTGTCGAAGGTCTGGTGTAGCAAAGGGTTGTTATACTCCACCAGATTGACTCCATAGCGACAGAACCACTTCTTCAGCACCGTGTACTTTACCGCATCAAGCTCCGAAAGTGCGTCTTGTCCAGCGATAGGCATCCAAAAATTAGCGATCAGCTTCCACGCGGCCTCGATCCGGTTTTCCAGCAGGGCGGCCGCGGGCGAGACACTTCCTTGCTGCAGCGCTTTCTCGTGGGAGGCCAAGAACGTGCGGAGGAGGTTGTGCTTGTTGCGGTCAACCTCAACATCTAGACTTTTCATACTAGCCGAAGAGGAGTCAACATTTCGATCTCGTTTTACTCGAAGTTTGCTGCCACTGCGGGAAACAAACCCCGTTGGTATCCCCGAATCTTCTTTCCGGGCCACTAGAAGGTGCTGCAGGATTTGAAGGTAGTGATCCTGCGTCATGGAAATCCTTTTCTGGTGGTGGTGATCTCTTTTGCGCGGGACAAAACACTTGTTTCTCGCATCCGCATGCTCGTCCTCAGCGTCGATGCTCCTCCCACGAGCGCTGGTAATGCTGTCAGCGCAACCGTTTTCTGAATCTGCACCACCGTCGTCGCTGTCATCAAAGAGTCGTGGTCGTGGAAATTGTGCTCCTGATGTGGTGTCGTCCAGCTTCCCCGGCCGCGCTTGTAGTAGAGTCATCTCTTGCAACGAACGCAAACCCGTCTTCCTGAATCTTTTATTCAGCACCTCTTCGTGATATTTCTGCCACACTTCCGCTTTTACTGCACTGCGGACCTGACGCCGTTCGATTACAGACGCGGTTTCCGATTTGCAGGAGCTGTCCTTTTCATTTTTACAACCAGGGGCGCGGCTCCTTTTCTTTCCGTCTCTTCTAGTACTTGTCCTTGCCAAACATCTCTTGGTTGCGTGGTTTCCCATCTCGGGCCGCGGCATCAAAACGCTGCGATCATTGCCTCTGCCCAGGGAAGTAGACGAGGAACTGCCACTGGAAGATACGGAAAACAGGTCCTCAAAATCGGAGAAAGTTGCAGCCTCGTTGCAGATATGCATTGCAGAGGTATCGATATCGTTTTACGTAGAAATAAAATGACAATTTTTTGCAGAAGCAAAGCGTGCAATTTGCATGCAGAGTCAGGCCTCAACAAGCTCAAACGACAACAAGTAGATCTGTCATGTTGCAAGACTGGCATTTGTACGACGAGTAGGAGTACGATACTTTTGCAAAGGATAGTAGAGCAACTCCCTCTCTAGATCGTCCACGTCCTCCGATGAATCGGAGCAGGACATGCTAGTCAGGGAGCCTGAGAAGGACTCGCTGGCACAACGACCACCTGCTCCAGGGGTTGTACTAGTTGTACCAATACCATTTTTCATAGTACCAGGATCCGCATCTGCATCAGAAACGTGCGCGTCAATAAAAATATTTTCATCGTGTTGTACTAGCTGCCCTTGCATCGGAAACGAGGATCCCGCACGGTATTCTTCGTCTTCCTCGGAAGTTTCGGAGGATGAGCTCGTGCCTGTCTCGACCTCGTCTTCCCAGCCGTATGGGGAATGATCATTTTCTTCTTCGGGCAACACAGTTCTTCCAGGGGATTTCTCTTTAGGAGTGCAGCTCTGACCAACTCCTCTTGTGTGCCGATTTGAATATTGTTGTTCCCCGTGCGCGTTTTCCATGTAGTTCTTGCGGTCGGTTGCACAATAAAGCCGCGTGCTTTTATCTTTCTCACCGACATTGAAATTGTAGTGCTCTTGCAGGATCTTGTCCAATTCCGCGTTCAGGCGCCGGACCCCGCGGCCAATTCTCGCAGCCGTAAATCCAGCAGTACTTCTGGTGGAAGAAGCTTCGGACGAACCCGGAGAAGAAAGGCGATCTGAAGTAGATGAATCGGACAACACTTCCAACTGTGTAAAAGTTTTGTCCTCGTCGTCCGCGTGCAAAAATGAAGTGGGGCAGTCCTCAGCAACTTCGCGAACAGCGTCGGGGTCGGCCGCGGGCACGACACTCTGGTCGGAATCAACGTCGTCATCACCGCCGCTAACGTCGTCATCACCGCCGCCGGCCAGGGTTTCGTCAAAATAGTTCCGGAACAAATCCTGCAGCGTCAAACTCTTCTGCCCCTTCTTCGAAAAAAGTTTCCGCTGGATTTTTGCAGCGTGTTTTTTCTTCCTGGTCGCATAAGATTTTTCCATCATGTAGTTGTGCTCCTGTTTTGGTTCTCCCATCGCGGAGAAATTCCTTTTTCCTCCTCGATTATAATTTTTCGACAAAGATAGAAAATCCAGAGATTCGCCTCCCCTTGCTTCGTGCAAATCCTCCAGCAGGCGCCAGAGGTCATCAGGCGTGCGACAGTGCCGGTGCTCTTCGTCCACCGAGGTTGTTGTATCAAGAGCGGCCCGACCGGGCGATTGACGTGGGTGTTCTTTTGACGAAATAGGAGGTGCAGCTCCAACATGTACTTCTTTCTTCCGAATGTTAACTTCTTGCAGATTCTTGCCCAGCTCCGCCCTCAATCTTTCCATCCATTTCCAAACATCTTTTTCAACCGCAGCAAGCACCGCGTTTGCGACGCCCTGGATCTCCGACGAAAACTGATTCGGCGCCCGAAGTTCGCGATGGAAAATCGCTGCGGGAGCAGTATGATCGCAGCTTTCGTTTGCTGTGGTAAGCGGCCACCTCTGGTCGCCGCGCCCATAATAAGCTGGCGCTACATGATTGATCCCGGTTGTTCCACCATGATCCAGATTCTCACAGGTGGAAATAAGAAGTGCCTCGCGTTGCAATGCGACTTCGATCTCGTGCGCTGCTGCGTTCAATTGATAATCCGCTGAAGATGTCCACCATGTGCTAGAAAATGAATATCTTGGAGCTCCGTCTGTCACCGAGGCAAGTGCCTTTGCTTCCGCGTGTTCTTCTTGACGGTAAGACTCTGAGGAGGGTCGCTCGATCTGGACCCGGTGGTCAACGGGCGGCACCAGCTCCTCATCCGTGCCGGATGTTGACTGTGGAGCTGCGCTCTTTGCTGTAGAATCCGTTTCTGGAAAAGCAGCTTGCTCTGAAGCACAAGCAAAATGATCCTGGCCACTGCATAATTGCTCGGACGGTTCTTGTTCCAGGCTCCCAGCACTCTTCTCAAAATAACTGGCGCCAGCCTGCCTATACGGTGCGAGAACTAGGCCATGTCCATCTCCGGAGATACAGGTTCTTTCCTGTGAGGATAACGACATTTCTGAACCATGCTCTTGCATCTCAAGTTGCCTCCTGCTGCTTTCATCGTCGCCGACATCTCGCACTACAGGTGCATCTACTATAGGAAGCTGCCCCTGAGAAGATGAATTTGCACCCGATCTTCGTCCACTATAATTCGTTGCATGCTCCACTTCTTCTCCCTCAGCTTCCACTTGCTCCACTCCACCCAACATCTCGTTCCTTCCTGGAGAAATCGACGACGCGAATGACCGACAGGACGCAGTCGTCGCGGAAGATACGGGACTTCCGCAAAACCAGACGTAGCGAGGCGTGTCTGCAGAAAATGTTTCTGTCTCAGATAATTTCAACCGTTTATCCTCGTTGTCACAGAAGCCAGGACCAAGGCTGCAGCCGGAAGAAGATGCAGGTGTAGCAACAGCGAGGCCGCGCTTGCAGGTATTGCTCATTTTTTTGTCCCGCCGTCCTCGCCAGCGAAGCTTCTTCGGCCGCCGCTCCTTCCTAACATAGGCGAAAGCCTCGTCTGCTTTCTGTTGTACCAATCGCATTTCGTCAGCACCGTGGTCGTCCCGAGCGCTGACCATGCTGCCACAGCTCGCGGTGGTTGCTCCAATTGAAACTAAAACATCATCTTCCCAAGACGAAGAAAATAGACCAGAGCCACCTTCTGCTACTACAAATTCTGACGGCGACTTACGCAGCTCCTGCGTGCCAAGATTTTCTTGCAACGGCGACTCATGTTGACGCTCCGACGTGCCAGGTAGTATCGACTTTCTCGCCGGCCGTTCTTTATTTGATGCAGCAGCTTCGTCCAAGGGCGTCACACGAATGTCACGCGTTCTTTCAGCCTGGCATTCATGGAGGCTTGCCCATTCGAGAAACAGGTCTGCATCCCGTTCAAAATTGTCCCACGCTGCTCGCTTACGGAGCTCGCGCGGATCCGTGGGCCTCTCTACTGGTTCCGGATGTAGTACCATAGTCGTTTGAGGTTAATCAAACATCAAAACCAGTGGTTTTTATCCTTAACGTGGGTGTACTGCTATCAATGCGACCGGTCATTTTGACAAGAACTGCTCGAAGAACAACGGGTCGAGTTGTCGGGGATCTTTTGTTCGATGATTTATTTGACAAAATTTTTATATTTCTGTTTCGTACCACCTAGCTGCCTGAAGATTAAGATCGTAGTTTCGCCTCTGGCATCTTTGTATCATCCTGCTCAACTACATTGAGGTCAGCAGCACTCGTGGTCCGTCGATGTTGATAGACATAGACCAGTACTTACACCAGGAAAAAACATAAACACGCAAGAGATAGAGAGCTTAAGAATACACGTTATAGAACGATTGTTCCTTCGGAAACAGATCCACGCTTAATTATTTGAAGTGAGCGAGTCTTGCTTCTTTTGTGGAACTGGCTTCCTGGCTGCCGAATATCAAGTCCGTTGTGACTGATATCGCTGCAGGCACAAAAAGTTTTGTCGGCAACAAAACCTGCACAACTCCTTATGTTGAACGCCCTTCCCCTCCTTGTCCTTTCGACGCTTCGTTTTTCAGGATCTTACCCTTTCCATCTCGTGTGGACCTCCACGGAACCGCATCTTACCAAACTAACTGTTTGCATTTTCAAGATTTGCGTTTTGTTCAGATAGCAATGAAATTCCAATTTGACAGTATGGGAAGGAAATCTTTCACCAGCTCTACTATAACTTTGGAGGCAAGGAGGGCAAAAATTCCGGAAGTCAGAAAGTATCAAATCTTTCGGTTTGGCAAACAAAAGCGAGAGCGGCACTACAAAAAAAAAAAAACGGATGTTCAATTTGCTGTTTTCTCAAACGACAAAATTCAGAAACGGTAGAATTTCCTGCAGCGAAGGCCAACGCACTCGCTGAGTGGGTCTTTCCACCGGGGAAAATGAAAAATAGGTATTTTGACTTTCTGCAGACAGCACAGAGCAAAAATGTAAAGCATTGTACAGCATCGCATTGTTCGCAGCACGAACTATAAGCTCAACGTATACCTCCTCTTCTTCTAGCACATGACCCTTCCTACGGCTGCTGGCTCCGACAGCAGGTGGACAAAAGCGAAAATCCACTTGATGCCGGCACGGTCTCTGGTTGCAGCTCGATCGTCACTGCACCGTTGTTATTTGCTCCACCCCTTCTTTGCAGCGGTAATCCCACACTCCCGTCCAGCTGGAAAGCCCGCGGAGAGGAGGATGATGATCCATTCGGGGGAATTATGCCAGTTGTTTCTCCTGATGTCGGCACGAAGCTGTAGTTGTCTGGCAACAGATCGTCGTGAAAGAGTTCTCTGGCCAAGACGAAAAACGCCTGTTTCCGCTCCAGGTGCGGAAGCCACAACCGTTGCCAGAAGTGAAAGAAGGGGCTCAACCAGGACTCTGGCATCGACTTCATCAGACGATGCACAACCCCGACCTTCAGGAACACCACACTCACTTCGGACGTTGCGATCGGCGCCCGCAGCGGCTTGGCTTGGTCCGCGGGAGAGCTTGCCTGTCGCGGCCGGGCATGGAGCATCGGCGCTACGTATTCCCGAATCAACAGATTTGGGTGCGGGCCACTGCGGGCTTTCGGGGAGCAACAGGCACTCAAGCCGCTTCCCGGACTGCTGACCGCTCCGTCTTCGATCTCGACGTCCAACCTTGTGGGCTGTTCAAACCGCTTATCCTGAGCAAAAGTATCACCGACTCATAGTATTCCTATTCGCAACGACGCATGACAAATCTCGTTCTCGTTCCCAAGGAAAATCAACATGACAAATTCCATCTGATTTCATGCTATGTCAATTTGTATTCCGCAATTAGAATTACTAGGAGTACGATGTTTATTTTGCAACGCATACCGCACTTCCTCCTCGAGCTTTGTCCAATCGATAGAGTAGCTTGCCCGTTGATCTTGCTGTTTTTGCCAGGACGGCACGTCCAAATACCGCCCAGTCACTACGTTCAGGCCGTCGAACACGAGCTGCGAAAAGATCGACCCGAGCGAGAAAAGGTCAACCGAGTCCATCGTCTTCAGCGCCTCACAAACCTGGCCAGCCTCGACCTCCTTCGGTGCGAACCCTACCGTCCACGTGCCGAAGTACTTGCCCATCTTCTCGCGTTGCTTGGAAGTTTTCGCGTCGTCCGCGTTCGAAGTGACAGACGCGGTGAGAGTCGCGAGTAAAGAGGAACTACCGGCACCTCCAGTTGTCTTATTTATTCCGGAGGAAGAACTAGCTCGCGCCTGCTTCTTTTGCTCGCACGCAGCCAAGGCTTCCTTTGCCTCGTCGAACCCAATCATGGAAGCGAAGTCCGTGATCACGATCTTCTCGGTATCCGGGCTCCAGAACAGGTTATGCAGTGCAAAAGCATCGTACTCGTAGTTTTTTCATTGCAGTCATGCGTGACAAATCTGGTTCCTTAGCTCATTCAGCATTACAAATTCCTTCTGGACAAATTTGTAATGCTATTTCTACTAGTACGACTACGATGCGTTTGCAATGCATACAGGTTCTGCGCCTGCAAATCGTGATGCGCAGCCTCAATGGTTACTTGTAAAAACGAGACCGCCTCCACCAGCTGGGTAAGCATTTTCACGATGGTGCTGGTCTGCTGAAAAATACTGGCGGTCTTGTACACCGGCGACCGGGCGGATTTCATACCGTTTGTTCCGGTGCTCCGCGCGCTCCTTACCAGGTCCTGCAACTCCTCATCCGTGGCCGCCGGCGCTGTCACGAAATTCACACTACGTCCATTCCCTGCTGCACTACTGCTCCCAGTGTCCGCTGCGCCTGCTTCGCTATTCATCCTTGCCATTGCGTGAGATTGGTGGTGCAATTGGTGGAAGTTCTGCGCCCCTGCTGTGCTTTGCAAGTAGACCAGTGCGGGGACGGAAGATGCCGTGCCGGCCGGAGATTCGTAGATCACGTATAACTGGGTGTCTTCAGTCAGCCTGTCGTCCTTCAAAGGCGTGCTGGTCTTGGTGTGTACGTTGAACCCCTCCTTCTTGCTTCTCCAGCGTGGATCCTCGGTCGGGTCCACGGTTGGCTGGAGTTCCAGTTCCCCGAGGTTGTGCCGCAAACACTTCTGAAAGTAAAGAGCCGCAGAGGATCTTCTCCCCTTCTCCTGCAGTTTCTGGGCCCACTTGCAAGCGTGCCGGGCCTTGTCTACCTCGACGTGCAAGCCGGTCTTCTTCGTGGACGAAACCAAATAGTCGTTCCACGTGAGGATTTGCTTCGTTTGGCGGTCCTGAAATCGGTACACCACCACCGGAGCCTGGCTCAGCTTCATGTATCAAATGCAAAAGTGTCTGGGTCTGGAAGATTGCCAGGTTTGTCATGCATATTTTGCATGACCCGTGGCGCCTGTAATGCATGGCCTAGCATCACAGATTTTTAGAGGACTTCCTGATGCCTATTCCGCATGAGAAATGCCATCTCCGCGTAGAACAAAAATAGGAGTCCAGTACCAGTTTGAAACTGGTACTGGACTCCTTTTGCTGGTCATGCAATACACATTTTTTGTAGAATTCAAGAACAGCATTACAAGTTACAACCATCCAGACCCAGACATATTTGCAATGCATATCATGACCGCCCTGTGCACGAGGATTTTCACTGCCCCCGGAAGCATGTTGCTGCGGACGACCGACGCGGGGAGCGGGTCCATCGGTCGATACTGCGTTTCGTCCACTACCCAGGAGAGCGGGTAAAACGACCCGGCGGGGGCGTTCCGGAAGTTCGAAGCCATATTTCCCAACACGTTGGTTGGGTAGAGATTCTCAATTCCCCGCGGACTCAGCTGCGGTGACACAGAGATCCCCATCGGTGGAGTACCGACCAGGCGCTGGGTCGCAGCTGGGGTTTTTTCCGCGGCAGATTTTGGACTCTGGTTTCCCTGTCTTGCTCGGAACCCGGAACTGCTCAAACCGCCGAAGCAGGAAAGCAGCGAGTTGCCGAAAGACTGCGCTGAGGAGGGAGAACTTGGTGCTGGTACGACAGCGTTCGGGGGTAGGAGGGGCACATTATTCTGAGCACCATTACCCGCCCGCGGAGAGCTACTCCCCGGAGCTGCTCCAAAGAAACCCTGCGGCGCAGCTGATCCAGGTGGGCCTGCAGCTGCCCCGTTGCTGTTGCCGAAACCGTTCGCAGTTGGCCCTCCCTGAAAGAAACTTTTAGCCACTCCTAGTTTCGTCGCGAAAGCTCCCGGAGGCCTGATCTCCAACAAAGGGACGAGAAGAACAGACACTATAGGCAGCAAGAAATAGACCCTGGAGCGCAAAAGGCTCTTGGAGATGACCATCTTCATGGCGACCATCTTCTTCCTTTATGTGCTGATCGGAGTACTAGAAGTCGTTTTTGCACGAAACGATGTCTGGAACGAAGAGCTTATTTTGAGGATCTGCTACTTAGGCGACGGCTTCGATCTAGAACTCGTCTCTGGATCCTTTTTTCGATCTCTATTTTTTCAAGAGAAAAATGGACAAGTCCAAAAGGGACAAAATTTCATCTCTCCGGTACTTCCTTGCGAGGTTCCTGCTTATTTTCCCGTGGAACAAGATCGAAAAGAATAAAGTCACAACAAAGCTGTAGTCGCCCTCGCCCATTATCATCCGTCATACCATGCATTACAACAGCGTAGTTCAAGAACATTTATTCATTTCCTGGAGCCTCTTAGAAGTTTCTATGCCACGGAGGTCTGGAGCCTCTTCGTGTCTGAACTCCTCCTTTGGCCACGCCAATGTCGTGTCTCCGAACTCGGCCGTTGCGCAGTCCACGAAGTGCGCGTGGTCCCGGTGCGGCCGCACGCTCCCGAAACCCTGCAGCGGATTCCGGCCGAAGACCTCCAACAGCGTTTCCACTTCTTCCGTGGAGTTCAGGTGGTCAAATCCCTTCAGCGTGTTCTTGTCGAGAGAGCTGGTGCTGCGTAGACTACTCAAAGCCGCCTCCCGGGCGGACATTTCGACAGTAGCAGCACTGGTTGTGTCCTCCTCCTCTTCCCCTGGTGGTGCATGTTTCCCGTATCCCGCACACGGCCTCGCGCCCGCACAGGAGCGAAACAACGTGCATGTTTTGGAAGCTGCACGACGACCTTGCGACGTCGAGTGCTCCATAATAGTTGGAGTTGTTGCGCTGGTGTCCTCCTCCCCTTGAACAAGTAGATCATGCTCCTTCAAATGCAGGCAGCGGCATTTCTCCGCTGAAAAACTTAGGTCCGCGCACCCCTGCCAACAGAGCTGCATCAATGATGGAATTAGCTGGTAAAGCCGCGGTGTCTTCGGCCTCCACGTAGCAGCGTCCTGGTCGGCGACGCTAAACTGGAAGCTCGCTTTGGCTCTTTTCGCCAGCATGTCCTCGTTCACCTGCAGGCGCCACTTGCGGTGCTGGCTGCGGATCGCAGACAAGTCGATTACGAGAACACAGGTTCTTACTGCTCCTGCCTTCGTCGCAGCAGTGTCGCTGTTTTCACCAACCGAATTGGAATTGCAGCTTTCCTGAATTTTCTTCTCCCTTTCCAGGTCCTGGAAGGCTCCGGGCGGGACCCACGTTTGGTCTATTACCAGGGAAAAAAGCCGCTTCGCAAAACTAGTAAAGGCGTCGGCCGAAGATAATTGTTCTTGGGAAGAAGAAGATGAAACGAATTTTGTCACCGGCGCACCGACGGTTACCCGGGCGAAGCGGATCCTTTCCTCATCCTCAGCAGTGCTATCTCGGTCGTACGGTACGGCAACCGGAACTGGATGTTCTTCTCGAGCAGTAGAAGCAGTGCGTTCTACTTTCAGTAGACTGTTATTGTCGTTGTTCTCAAAAAACTCTAGTTTTACGTCGGCTATCGCGTCAGACATCGTCTCCGACCACTGCGCGTGCAGAAACCACACAAACGGCAAACTCCGCCCCAGCTCCTGCTCATACTTTAGGTGTAGCGTATCGGCGTCGTGGCCTTTCATGATCTGCGCGTTTGTTCTCGTCGCTTTCGCAATCAGTTTTTGATTATCTGCAACATTTTCGCCAGAACTATCGCCGGCACTTCCATTCCCGACGATTTTTTCCGCGACCTGGCCCGGCAAGAGCTGTCTCTGCTGTCCCCTGTGCTCGTCTTTGAGTTCTTCCGCGGTCGTAACCCGTGGCTATGAACTGCAGAAGTATCTTCGTACTCGATCTCGAACTCGTATATATAAATGCATTACAGATTTCCTCAGCATGAGAAATTAAATTTGTAAATGCTGCTTTACCTTGAGAAAAAGATTTTTAATGCATGACTGCAATACAACGAGTACGATACTTTTGCACAGGATAGTGGCGCGGTGCTGACGATGTCCCCAAACCCATTCGCGTCGCAGAAGTCCAGCAGCTCTGTGCCCGCTTTCGCGTCGGTCCGGCGGTAAATCCGGTGTTGCGCGTCCGCGTTGATTTCGGCGGATACGACAGGAAGGGTGTTATACTCAATGCGCATCTTCTTCAAAAGCTCCCTTGCCCCCTGCGCGACCTCGTGATCGTGCCCTTCGGTGTCTGTTTTCAGCAGGCAAAGGTTTTGCACGGGGAAATGAAACGGATTCTTGTTGAGGGTCGTGCCTGTGGTACTGTCCAATGAAGTTGATCTTCTTCTTGCACTGAGTACCATCGGGTAGTTCTCGTCGTCGTCCCGTGCAGTTTCATTCATTTTGGTCCCGTAAACTACCGCCGCTAGCCGCTGGATTTCTTGCCCTTTGTAGTTGTTGGTATGATCCTTCGTCCCTACTGTACCATCCTCTGCCAGAACGTGACTCTTGTCACTTTTCGACCCTGCGGTGTTCACAATCTCGTCCAAGGTGCGCAAAGGGACATCGTCAAAATCAGTCCGCTGCTGGTCGTCCGTGACGTTTAGTGGTGTATGCATTGCAAAAGCATCGCACTAGTACGTATCGCAATACAAATTTTTAGCGCAAGAGCATCACAAATGCAAATGCAATCTGTAATGCTGATTAAGCTACAGGAGAAACATTTGTCATGCTTGATTGCGATTGCTACGAGCACGACACTTTTACACAGGATATTGTGCCTTGGAGAACAAGCCACCCAGCTCGGTGTCCTGGTGTGGCACGGAGAACACCAGCTTTTCCTCCGCACTCTGCTCTGCAAGCTCGTAGGAAGTTGCCGCCGCCTGAAACAGCTTGACCTGGTGCTCCAGATGGTTGGCCTTGATGCTCCCGCCCGTGAACGCCGTGTTCCAGTGCACAGGCTCCACGGCAACGACCTGGTACCCGGTCCCCCGCTTCTTCTGTCGGTCGAAAGCGGTCGCCGGGAAGAAGGTAGTGCTGGTACTGGCACTAGAAGAATTAGAATCTGAGTCACCAGTTTTAATATTCCTCAAGGCGGTATGAATATGAGCTTCATCTGGTGGCCTGTCGTCGGCTTTTAGTTGTACAGCAGGTGTTACAGAAGTACTTCTGCTCGTCTGCCGCGACGTGCTCTCGGTACTAAACGGAAGATCAGATGAATCGACCCACTTTCTCGCCAACGAGAACAATCCGCTAGAACGACAAGTCGTGCTTCGTTCTTCCAGAGTAGAAGACCCCGATGAAACCTTGTAAACATCTTCCGTCAAGAACGGGTGCACGAAAATCCCGCTCATGCGGCCGTCTCCGTTGCTAGCCTCCGGAAGCATCTTTTCGAGCAGCAAGTGGGGGTTTGGGTTTCTTGCAGCTTTCGCCCCATCTTGTAGTTGTTCCGCGGCACCTTTCGCATCTTCGCTTCTCGTTTCAGAGGACGCCGGCGTACTTGAAGAAGATGTTCCTCCACCGCCTTCGTCCCGAATCTCGTCGACACGACTTACCGCACTGCTCGGCAGCCACCGCTCCAGCACGGGAATGTAGATGGTCTGCGCCAATTCCGGTGCCGGAATGCCCGAGTAAGCTCCTGGCCGACCGATGAACGTCGTTTCGATCTCGGCCAACTGCGCCGCCCCGTGAAACAGCATGGGCTCCCACTCGAAGGCCTCGCTGGACCGGCGCGCCGTGGCCAGTCGCATGCTACAGGCCCCGTAGTTCGCCCCCACGTCAATGGCGGCTTCGCACTCGTTCTTTGTTTTCGCCAGAGCCCCTGCAGAGTCGTTTTGCTTTTGTCTTTTCTCCCGATCCCGCTTTGTTACGACATCCAACAATGTTTCGCACTCTGCCCACAGCCCGAAAAGCCGGAACTGCGTGGACATGGTGTTCTCGCTCTCCCAGAAGGGGTTCACGCAGAAGTAAAACTCGTTGGGCACAATGGGCGCGGTCTTGATCAAGTAGCCGCGTTTTCGGTTATCCGCAGCGTCCCAGGGGCACGTGCCGCGGTGAAAGAGAAGGTCCTGCAGGATCTGCAGCAACTGCAGAAAATGGTAAAACAAGTCGTTGCTCGCAAAGGGCGAAATCTCTGCGTCATACTCTGCTGGGTCGATGGGCTCCGACTGCAGAATTGCCGAGGAGGTGGTAGGTTTGTTCGTCATGAACTGTTTGTTATTTCTGGTTTTTCTACTCCCATTTTCGTCGAAAAATAAACCCTCGTGCTGCGAGAAGAACATGTGCTCGTCCATGCTCTCCCTCTCGACATCGCGCCCCTTGATGCCCACCGCCCGCGTGATGAACCGCCACTCCCCGTCGTCTTCGAAAAAGTACTTTGCATTGCAAAAGCATCGTAGATCTACGTACACGTAGTAATTGCACTTGCAGTCATGCATAATTAGAAATCTTGTAGTTCCCAAGGTACATTGTCAGCATGACAGATTCCCTTTGTCTTCGTGCTGGGGAAATTTGTCATGCGATTTCTACGAAAACTACGATAGTACTTTTGCCATGCATAAGTGCGGGGTGCCGTCCCCGTCAAACTGCAAGCTTTCCAGCACTTTGGGGGGGTCCTTGAACTTGTTCCACGGCTTGTATCCCTCGGCGTAGACGCCGGGACGGAATACGGACGCGTGCTTGTAAGCCCTCTCGGTCGACGAAGAGGAACTGCTGTGCTCCTGTGCGGGCTATGCATTTCAAAGGTATCATACTATGAAAATCGCATTCGCATTCTTCCTTTTGCAATTTGGCACAGCATGACAAATGCAACCTCTGTTACGGATTTACCTTTAGCAAAGAGATTTGTCATGCCGGACCTTGGTTGCGATGAGTACATAGTAAGATAAAGTAATTTTGCACTGCATACGGGCGTGGCTGTGCCGCTTGAGTAATCCTCTACTTCTGCCGCATCGAACATCTTCTCTTTTCTCGCAAAGTAGCGGTCCCAGCTTATCCTCGGAAAAATGCTCTTTGTCGTCACAGCACACACAACGTCATGTCTTCTGAGGCCGTGGTAGCCACAGGCAAACACGACTTACTTGGGTGGCGGATTTTTTCGCAGTAAAAACCGCCAAAGTGGATAACAACTGCGGCACCTTACTGCCCCGGCTGCTAGTACAAGCCAGTACAAGAAAACGAGGCAGAAAATACGCGAAAAAAACGCGCATTTTCCATTTTTCTCCCGAATCCGTGTATTTAGCAAGGCAATTCTGACTACCCTACCAAGAGCTTTCCCCCTCTTGTCCATTCCTCTACCTTCGGGTTCTGTGGTCCATCATCTCCAAAGACCCCCGCCAGGCTCCCGCGGGGGAGTGGCGGGGGGTGCAGGCCGGCGAAGCGCCGGGCTCTGCAGTACTAGGATGATGATGATCGCGGCGGCCCATTGATTCCGCAAGTATAAAAAAGAAGGAGGGGAAAAATTTTTTGGGTTTCGCAAAAGTAAAAAAGCCAGAGCAAGGCGATGGAAGGGATTGGCTGCGGTACCAAGCTGGGGATGGAAACGCGTCGCGGATCTTCGTCATCGCAGGGCGCTACTTGAAAAATTGCATGTAGCCGGCACCCAGAGCTGTGGGCGCTATGGCGACAAAATGCTACTCTTCCCCCTGTGATAAACCTGACCGTTTCGTCCGCGTTTTGTCGGGCGGGAAAAAACGGTGTATAGTGTAAGCGTCTTGATTCTATTGCAGTGACAGCATGACAAATTTGCTCTGAACGACAGAGAAAACCTGTCATGCACAGCTAGTTCGTGAAAACACACAGGAGAAAGCTGGGGCTCATGGCTGGCCAGCATGACAGGCATGACTTTGAGGCACGGCGTGCCCCAAAGTCACGCCTGTCACACTTTGCATTTTTACAGACTTTGACTTACACATACACAGTTCTGTTCTTGCATACGTTTTCTATGAAGTACACACTTGTGCTGGCGGTCGCGCCGCGCCGCACGATGTGCTGCCCACCCAGCGCCAGGTACTGGAAGAACATGCTGTTGGACGCCGCCTCATCAGTCTTACTCGAGCTTACTACCTTGATGCCGAAGTACTCCGCGTAGTGATGCACTATCTTCCGGTACGTCTGCCTAATGATGCGCAAGATGCGGCGGGGCACGACCATATCCTATGTAAAAACGTACCCACCCCATAGTCAAGATGGGGAATCGGCTAGACAAATCCACAAGCTTTGGCTGTTTCGCATGACAAATTTGGACGCGTAGCGTAGTACTGTTTGAGCTAGTTCACCAGCATTACAGATCTAGTCTCTCATGCTGATTGGAGCATGACAAATTTCAATACACCATTAGAAAATGCTTCTCATGGGGCTCCGCATGAGAAACATTTGAAGCATGCCGATTTGCATGACAACTATGGTGTGGGTACGTTTTTACTCAGGATAGACCAGGCGCCGATTTGGGTCGTACACGACTTCTATCCTGTGCAAAAGTATCGCACTCGTATTAATGGCATTTATGCATTACAAATCTTTTTCCCAAGCTAAATCAGCATTACAAATTCAATTTGTAATGCTGGGCTAGTTTGTAATGCACTTAATACTAGTACGATGCTTTTGCATTGCATAACTTCCAAGCGGCGGAGAGCCTCGTTTTCCTGCATCTGCAGCAAGAGCTTTGCCAATGCGGACAGCACCTTGGCGTTTTGCAGCACAATTTTTTGACGACCCTGGTGGAATTTTTCATCAGTCCCTTCACTTTGCCCTCCCTGCTCCAGCTTCTCCACGCGGTCGGCGATTGGCCAGTCCTCGCGGTTCTTCACAGCGCCACCTCGCTGCATCTTCTCGTCGCGCAGCCGCAGGACCGCCTCCACCTCGTTTGGCACTGTGTAGGTCTGGTCGCGCGCCCACTCCAGGAACACCTTCTCCCCGGCTACCAGCGCGGCCGTCTCGGCGCCCCGATCGGGCAGCCGCCACGGCGCCTGGGCGATCCACCCGAACAGGGGCCATGTGCTGGACAGCACTTGCTCGATAAAAACCAGGGCCATCTTCGTGTTCATGTCGCTTTTAGTTCCTGCAGATGTTTGGTGCAGCCTAGTGGAAATGGTCCGGGACGTCGAAGAGCGTGGAGCCGACGTAGCAGCTGCAGGTGATTTTGAAGTTCCTATGTCAACATTCTGTTCTTCCTGATGGACCACCTCTTCTCCAGCCCCTCCCGTAGAACTGGTCCTCTGAAAGACCACGAAATTGTCCAGAACATATAGGACCCGCTTCCACCGCGTCTCGAATCGCCGAAGGTTCAGGAACTGCGGCTGCGCCCGCAGGTCCACGGTCGAGCGCCCGACCTGGCCGGTGACGATACGTGCGAAGAACTCCTGCTTCACATGGTGCCGAAAGTAGTGGAATTTGGGCTTCAATCGCAAGCCCGGGAACGCGCGGTGGAACCCCGGCATCAAGCCGCCCACCAGCTTGTGCGAGTGGTAATCAGAATCGTCAAAAGGAATCAATGGCGTGGCACTAGCAGGGGGACGAGTTGTTCTTTCATCCCTGTGCAACTTCTCGTCGTGTGCACGGGCTGCAGGAGTTTCTTGATCGTATACTACTTTGTTCTCCTGCTGCTCCTGTGGTCTTAGAATCCTTTCGAACATGTTTTTCCCGAATTCGCGATCCGCCAGCCCGGGTCCGTCGTGTCCATTATCGTGCCGGTCGTACACCGCAGTCACCCACTTGGCTTCGGCGTCGTGTGCGTCGCGGACCGGCTTTGGTTGCTGTCTGTCGGCGAAGATCTGGTCGCGCGTGCGCGCCAGCGGCGAAAACCTGGTCACCCGCTGGTAGATAATTCGCTCTATAGGCTGCAAAAGTATCAGATTCGTCTCGTGTGAAAATTGGAATTGCAGTACTAGCAGTTCTGCATGACAAATATCTTTCAAAGTAACCTGAATAAATAGCATTACACATTTTACAAATTCCACTTCTTTCTTCCTCCCCAAAATGATCTATTGTTATGCAATTCCTACTTGCGCCGCGAAGATGCTTTTGCAAAAATGCATACGCTCCGTCTCGTTCTGAAACAGCTCCGACGGCGGCGGGTGCGGGGCCTCCCCAGCACGGGTCTTGAAGCTGCGGATGTAGGCCTCGTGATTTCGGTATTTGTTTACTTGTGGACGAGGGTCTCCTGCTTGCGGTCTTGTCGACAAAGCGCGTGACGTTCTTGTAGTACCAGATGCGGCTAATACACCAGTACTCACACTCTGGGTCACGTTCCTGCCGCCCGCCCCCCGGCTTTGTATCAACTGCAAAAGTGTCTGGGTCTGGAAGATTGCAACTTGTCATGCTGTTTTTGGACTCTAGAAAAATTTGTACTGCATGACCAGCAAGAGGGGTGCAGTTTGTGCTACACGGACAGGGCATTTCTCATGCGGAAGGTGCAGCAGGAAGGGGTTCTATAAATCTGTGATGCTAGGGCATACATCACAGACAATCATGGGTCAGGGTCACGAGAAATATGCATGACAAACCTTGCATTATTCCAGACCCAGACATTTTTGCATTTGATACTTTGCTCTAGCCTCCGAATCTGCATGCGGTAGTCTTCGAGCAGTGGCACGGGCAGTTTATTCTGTGCAAAAGTATCCGATACTCGTACTGTATTGCTTTTACGCATTACAGATCTTTTTCTTAAGGCGAATCCGCATCACAAATTTAATTTGTCATGCTGAGCTAATTTGTATTGCAATTTATACTAGTGCGATACTTTTGCACAGGATCCAGCTCCTGGCTCTGCAGCTTTTCCGAGTTCAGGGCCAGAAAGAAGGCCGTGGAAAACAAATCCAGCCGCTCCATGCGGATCTCCTGCTCGATGGTCAGCTCCTGGAAAGCCTGCATCAACAAAGCCATCAGTTCGACGGCCAGGCAGTCCTCCGACAGCGCTTGCGGACGAGAGAGCAGCGTGTTCAGCCGGTCATAGGCGTTGCGGATCTGCCCACTGACGTCGCCCGCGAGATTTTCACCTGAGTCGTTTTTTTGTGCTGTAGTTTCGTGATCAAGTGTCGAGTCGGAAATGATAGGAAGATATGAGATTTTTTGCAATTCCGCTTATATGCTTACTTACACAGCAGGTCTTTCCACGTACGGCACGCGACCTTCACAGACATTGTGAGGAACTACAGGAACAGCCTGTAATAGAACAATTATGCATGACAACTGAAGAATACTTATCAACAAAAAAATGTGCGTCAGCAGTGCCGCCTAAAAATTGCTTTATCGCAAATCACACGAGGACATCAAAAGAAAGTACCTTAGGCTAAATGTTACCGGTGAAGAAGCCGCTGGCGAGCCGGTCTTGCAGCAGGTCCCAGGGTGGCACCAGGGCTCGTGCCCGCAACACGCTGGAGTAGTGCGGCATAAGACTGTATCAAATGCAAAAATGTCTGGGTCTGGAAGGATGCAAGGTTTGTCATGCACACTTTGCATGACTCCTGAAGTCTGTGACGCATGCTCTAGCATCACAGATTTTGTGAGGGCTTATTGATGCCTATACCGCATGAGAAATGCCCTTTCGCCGTTGCAAAAACTGGACCTCTTTTGCTGTTCACGCAATACAGATTTTTGTAGAATCCAAATTCAGCATCACAAGTTGCACCCTTCCAGACCCAGACACTTTTGCATTTGATAGACTGCGGCCCTGCGCGACGAACCAGAACACCTCCCGGAGCCGGCGCATGTGGTACAGCTTCGTGCTGGGGATCCAACTGTGCTTGTACCCGTCCGGCATGCCCACAACGAGATTGCGAATCTCCTCCCGGAGCTGCCGCACCGCGTTCGTTTCGTGGTGGCAAATGTAGTTGCCCGTGTAGTGTGCCTGGTAGAACCGGGCACGGACGAAAAGGACGGGTGCAGTAGTGGTCCACGCTGCAAACAACCCTGCAAGCATAACGGGGAGAAGAAACGACCGCGACATCCTGGCTGTCTGAAGCTGCCTAAGAGCAGGAGTACTAGCGAGGAAAAGCTGCACTACCAAGAACTTTGTGCGGGCAAAAGAACTACGACTATGAGAGGTTGATTCTGACTTACGCTTAGGACGAGGCAAAAATAATTTGCATAAGTATAAAAGCAATCGAACTGCTGGAAGAACGAGTGTCTGTTTCGACTTACGAATGCTTTATGATTACGACCGAATGAAAAATAATCAGAAAACGTAAAAACGAAGGCGAACGCGACTGACGTAGAAATAAAGAAAAGAAAAAAAAAGACAAAAAATACGAACACGCGCCCACATTGCGGAAATGAAGTACAGGAAAAGAAAAGAGAGTTTTACTTCTGCGATCGGAGTACAGATTTCTTTCAACAAGTCTGCTTTTTTTAATCATCCCCATCCATGAAGGACGGACTGGCGTCTAAATGAAACGAGCTAACCGAGCGAAAAATATTGCGCCCGCTTCTTCTGTTGCGAATCCACTGAGTGTAGTACATGTATCTTCTAAGTACGGTCCTTGTGGAAGTGCGCAGAAGGAAGATGATGATGAGCATCAACAAACAATCCAGAGCTCCTCCCGCTCTACTCCAGTACAAGCTGATGTACTAGTACCACTATATCACACCTTTCATCATTCGCCCATGATCTCCACCACAACCTTGCCCTTTGCCCGCCGGCTCTGCACCCGCTTGACCGCGTCCGTGACCCCGTATGAGAGTGCACGACAACGACTCCCCCCCACCTCGTTTGCATGGCATGCACAGCAATACAAGCGACAACAAGACTGCAGCTTTTGCATGAAAAATAAATTATTTGCACAGGATTTTATTCAGTGCAGCTGTGGCTTCCGGAACGCCCTGTCATGCAAGCAGTGCCAAGGGGCGGCAACGTGTGGATATGGTGGATTTGCTACCTTGCATGGCAGACGAGTTGGAGCAGGGGGACGAGTTGTGCACAACTCTCATACACCGTCTGAGGTGAACGGAAAGACGGAGTCGAGGATCGGTTTTATGTCCGCGTTTTTTTCGAACCAGTCGTGCAGCCACTGCCAGTCTTGCACAGTCGGCGTCGGCAGAAACAGGTCGTAGCCTTCGCGGTTCCACTGCTTCCCAGTGCCCGTGGACAGCAACGCCCGTACCCAGTCCAGTTTATTCGGCGAGTTCAGGGCGACGTAAAAGTGGCCTTTTTTTAGCAACGGCCGGAAGATTATGCATTGCAAATGTGTTCTTGCCTGGGTCTGGAAATTTCAGTCTCTAGTACTGAACAAACTGATGTAGCACTATACATACTTCTTCCATATACAGACTGGCCCTCTTACGGCAGAACAGCCTGACAAATTTTCCTCACCTCCTTGCGGATCTTTCATTCGCAAAATGCCCGACAAATTTTGCCTCTAGAAGTGCGACAAAAACTACAGTACTACACTGGCAACCTGTATTCATGCATCACGGATCTAGATTGTCCTTCGAATCTCGCATGACAAATCCAGACCCAGGTCGATTTTTGCGCTGCAAAAAAATCGGCTCGTAGTCGGTGTCCATGCCGTCGCCTGACGAAACCGTGTCGTAGATGAGATCAAAGCTACCTTCTCCGGTCGTGATGGTGCTTCTTCTACCGTCTGCTCTTTCTACCGCATTTGCGTTCTTTCCGTCGTTTGTCATGGTTCCCCCCTCATGTTCTTCATCGCGCAGCAGCTGTTGCTGGATCCTGTCTGTGAGGGAAGCCGAAGCGGGGCCTGCGTTGCCCTCTCCGTCGTAGGGAAATACGAAGTCCGCCTTCAATTGGTCCCTCACGAAGTCCGCGTTCTTCTTGCTACACACTGCGTACTATGCATTGCAAGAGTTGTACTTATTGTCGCACAAGGTTGAGAAATCGCAGCGCAAAAGTAAATGCAAATTGAAATTTCATCTACTTCCGCCAGAAAAATAAAATTTGTAATGCTGACCCAGAACTAAGCTCTAAGAAACAAGATTTAATATCGTCATGCAGTATACTTGCAATTACTACTCGTAGTTGTGCGACTGTAATAAAACTTTTGCAATTATGCATAGGTACACGACGGCTCCGACGGATTTTCCCAGTTGCACGGCGGCTGAACCGGTTCCGCCGGAAGCGCCCAGAATGAGGATTTTGTCCTTCTCCTTCAAGTATGCATTATGCAAAAGTATCGCACCCGCATTGCAATCATGCATTACAAATCTTTTTCTTAAGTTAAATCAGCATTACAAATTCTATTCCTTGTCATGCTGTTGGGGAAGAGGAAATTATTTGAAATGCATTTACACGAGTACGATACTTTTGCACAGCATATCAAGGCAGTCCGATTCGTTCCGTTCTGCGAGGCCGGCGTTTTGGCGAACAATCCGTAGATGCCGGTCATGTACACCACGCCAACACTATCAAAGGGAAAAATCCCCCCTCCCCATATCGAAACGAAGTTTCTGATGCTGGATTTGCGTACACAAATCAGGTCTGTCTTGCTGGGGAGGACTGCAGGCATATGCCAAGCCTGGGTCGAGAGGTTTTGACGTAGGGGGACTAGCATGACAGATGTCGGCTGTGTAAGCCCAACAGCATCACAAACCGCCGGCATAATGCGGCGGACTCTCTGGCTTTGCCTTCTTGCAAGACAGACAGGATTTGTGACCTCAAATCTGCATCACAAATTTTCAGACGAATGCGTTTTCAATATGGGGAGGGGGCATTTTTCCTCTCAATAAACACCCGCCGCCTCGGAAAAGGACAGGGTCGCTGGCTTTTTCACCAACCGGGAAGCCTATCAAAAGGAAAAGTCTTCCCTCCCAATATCGAGACGAAGTTTCTGATGCTGGGTTTCCGTACACAAATGCGCACTGTCTTGCAGTAAGGCATCGCAGCCAGATCCTCAGCCTAGGCAGGGGCGTTTGGGTCTACTTGATGTTTAGCATTACAAACGGCTGCCCCCTAGGCCCAACAGCAACATGCCAAATCGCTTCCATAATGGCGCGGAAGCCTCTGCACTTGTCTTCTTGCAAGACAGACGTGATTTGTGGTCTCAAAGCAGCAACACAAATTTTCGGAAACATACGTTTTCGATATGGGGAGGGGGGATTTTCCCTTTTGATAAAGCCTTGATTTTCACAAACTCCGCCCCCGCGTCCATGTTGCCAATGCCCATCACAAAGTCGCCTTTTTTCAGCAAAGGTCTCTGCTGCTGCTGCGTCGAATGTGCAGCTGGAACAACAGGAGAGGGCGTGGCCATTGCAATGGCTTCATCTTCTCCAACTTCCCCTTTCTCGATATCCACGACCACACCGGCGAAATCCCGTCCCAGTGTCGGCTGCCGAAACCACCGCCACGCCCAGGTGCGGATCTTGTAGTCGACCGGGTTCAGCCCAAAGGCCTTTACTTGCACCAGTTATGACCCGCTCAGACGTTACAATCTCAACTGTTACGAATAGAATCTGGAAACCTGTGATGCAATAACTGCATTATCTAGCCAATATTTCATAGGATTGCGCATGACAAGTTGTGGAGTCCCAAACCCACCTGAAATACGGCAAGATTTGTATTGCAAAAAGCTCAATTCTCTCTGCGTTCCTCATGCTCTTCATGCAACACAAATTGCAGACTCTATTGTAACGCTTGAGATTGTAACGCTTGAGCAGGTCATACCAGTACGTCCGGATTTTTCGCCCCGTTAGGAGATGATCGCCCTGGAGCAAGTGTTGGTTTCGGTATGACAGTGCATACTTAACTCCCCCTCCCCCCACTTTGTCGTGCAAAATACCGAATGTCGTGCCTCTTGCCCTCAAACACTCTGCGCATGACATAAGTTTTGGACGCGGCCCAAACAGGACTACAATCCATTTATTCCGGATTTATTGTCATGCAAAAGCTACAAGTGAGTGTGGCATTGCTTCTGTTGCAGGTCATGCAATACGAATGAGCGGGACTGGGAGTTGTGCACTTTGTCTCATATTCGGAAGCTCCTTGACACAAACCGCATCACTCGCGGACCACACGGCGTATCCTGCGCAAAAGTTTCGTATTGCAATCATGCATTACAGATCGTTTTCGTAAGGTAGATCACAATTACAAATTTTATTTCTCATGCTGAGGAAATTTGTAATTGTAATGCATTTATACGAGTACGATACTTTTGCAGTTCATACGGCGGCGCGCATCATGATTTTTTGGAGCTATAATTTAGTGTTGAAACAGCATTAGAAATCGATGAACAGTCCAACTTTACAACGATTACAGAAAATTCACAAGCTAGTACACGGCTCGACAGTTTTGCGTTAAAGAAACGTACGACAAGCAGGATTTTCCTCGTCGGGAAGGTCGATGCTTATCGATAACGAGAAGATCGTCGTGCTCGGCGAAGGTGATCCACTACTGTACTTGATCCTGCAGGTACTGAGATGAACACCACGACGCGAGCATAAATGTCACTTCGATGAAGACACGAATCATCGTGAGAAGTGCGGCCATGTTTTTTATTTTGCGTACGTGTATGTACTATTTGTTGCGTATTTTTCCAGCAGCTTCTCTATACGTATTTCGTTAAAATGGGTGGGGGTGGCACAGGAGGCGCCGCAATGTTTATTGGTGCCGCAGAGTGGTCTCATATTCTTTGTTTTCATTTTTCTTGACCTCCTTGCGCAGCTGTTTCTTGTCCTCGCAGTAAGCAATAGCAGAAGGTTGTCGCATTTTGGTGTTTCTGAATATCCTTTATTATCTAGGTCTATCATACATAATCATACGTGATGTTTGTAGCGTGAGTGTGAATCATACATAGTCACGCAACTGTTGTTCATAGTGTTTTTTTTTTTCTACTGCGCGAACCTTCTTTGCGCATGTCCGCTCACGCTGGCTGCTCATTCTTCTAAACCAGGCTTGCTGTATTCTTGTCAACATTTCCACTGGTATTTGTTAGTATTGGCATTCCTTGTATAAGTCCAGAAGCAAGCAGGGCGGGGCTCAAAGTCGTCGCGGCCGGCGAAACTTGCGAAGGACTGGAGGATCTTGCGTTGAGCTCGAGGCGCCACTGGTGCTACTGGCAGCGCTGGAGAAGCCCGAATCGGAATCCCAAGCCGGTGGCAGAAGAAATAAAGCGGGTCCGTCCTCGGAAGAAGGCGAGGACGGACGTGGGAGCAATCCGGTAGCAGGGCTAGAGAGACCGCTTCTAACGCCGCCTCCTACTTCAACTTCTTCGCGCCCCTCGTGGTATGTAGCTGCTACGCCGCCGATCGTGGCAAACGGACTCAAGTTTCCATCATGGCCAAGAGTCGTATACGTGCTTGCTTCCGTCTCTGGCGAAGTCGACGACGGCACTGGATCCAGGCAGCTTGGTCTGATCAAGCCTCCGGGGTCTGGGCAGCGGTCTACCCTACACAGCGGCGTCCCCGTAGGGAGTGGAGGCTGCTCGTTGGTGGGGGGGGGGGGGTCCCGCGCCCGCTTCCGCTTTGAAAAGTCAAAGTGTGAAAGTTAATGCGTTTCCTATTTAAAAATCGCGCATAGCGAAAAACTTGCATGAAGACAGAAACTGGTTAGAGTTTGCGATGGAAATCCATTTAAATGTCTCTCCGCTCATGCGAAACAAAAAAAAACAACGTTCGTGCCAGAAATAGAAATGCCGAGAAATCACTTTTATAAACAAAAAACTACATACCAGCAGATTGAGAAATGGAACTGGCCGAGACCGACAACGGAAAAGGAAACCGCCCGCGCTGCCGTTCTTGGCGGCGGGGGAGTGCCTGCCGCGAGAGTGCCTCGCTGAAGCCCGGCTTCTCGTCTTGGTCGGTCGTGTCGCTCAATGAAATGCGCACGGCAGCCGGACTCTGATGCTGATGGCTTTGCGAAGTTTTTGCGCCTGCTTCGGAACTACGGGAAGCAAGGAACCGCTCATGCCGCCCTCCGTGACGACGTCGACCTCGACGTGGACGCACCTCGATGCTGCCAGAGTGACCCGCATTGTTCCACTCGGCGCTGCTTTTCCAAAGCGTGCCCGTGGCGCCGCGCAGCGACGTCTCCGCCCTCTTCGAGGTCAACATCTCTCCGCCGGAGGTTGTGTAGCTGGACGCCTGGTCTTTGTGCGATACACTCTGGGGATGCTGTCCATCTATCGCAGCCGCCCGGGGGGCAGTCGGACTGCTCCCCGCAAAGGTAGCGGCTGCGCAGTTTGTTCGGCTTGTTGTTCCTGACTGCAGATGTTGGCATGCCGGGCCTCGCCGTGATCGTGGCTGGTATTGACAACTCTGGCTGGTGCGCCAGGGCAGTGCTGACGAGAGCGACACTGACGAACAAGACGAGTAGGCATAATACGGAAAATCGATCCCCGTCCATGCGGACTCGTGCTCTTCGTGGATGGTTAACATGGTGGCGCGAGAAGCGCCAACGTGACAGGAGGAGGAGACAAGAAATAAAAACACCGCGAGCAGAATAGGACCGCCCAGAAGTGGCCCTGATCCTCTACGCCCGCGCTCCACCTTCTCTGCGTGACGCGGAGGACCCACTGTACGGCAGAAGTGCGAGGCGCGGGCTCGGATGCGGAACGACATATCGAATAGCTTTGATTTGACTTCTTAGAAGGGTAGTGCTTGTGACGCTTTTATAAGTATGAGTTATCCATCGTTTACAACAAATGAGGGTAGTGCTTGTAAAGCTGTTCGCAATATCTTTTCCCTATACTTTCTGTCTTGGTAATGGTGGTCCTCGTGACTGGGCACTACCTACATCTTGGTCTAGGTTTTGCCTCTAGGTTTTTTTGGGATTGAGATAAAGAGCACCACTCAGATCAAAAGAATAGATCGATGCGCTTGATTTCTTGTGCTGTATGTGTATTCAGTATTATCGTATAGGTAATTGCCATCTCCTACTTTGGATTTTTTTGCGTGCTCGCTTTTCTCGAGTTGTGCCGATCGATGTATAAAAAAACAAACGGCGCAAAATATTTATAAACACGGAAAGAAAAAGATCGCTTCAAACTACAACTTTGATCGATGCTATGCGCAAGACAGGAGGACCTTGGAGTTCGAGAACAAGCTCACGTCAAAAATGGGAACAACGACAAATTAATATGTTCAACAGAGCCAAAAAAATCTTTTCCCATTCATCTTTTGCTTTTATTTTTCAAGTTTTTTTGTAACGTTTTTTTAGTTTATTTCTGACGACCTGGTGTTCCTCTTCATCAAGATGAGAAGTTGTTCGTATGGGTATGTCATTGCATTCATATGGCCGCGACAAATCAATTTTCGCTGTGTTGATGTCGGTCGCAGAGCTGCCAGGGTGTAGCGGGTTAATGACTTCAAAAAAATCTCTTGATTACTAGAATGAAGGCCACTCCGCAAAAGCTTGGCAGTACTTCTATGCTGAGATCAATACAAAGTCCCGGAGTGCGTCGAGAAAACATAAAGAGAGAGTGCGAGAGAGCTACCTATATAGATCAACTAGGCAGGACAATATACGACGAACATCACACAGAGGAGCGCTGGTCTTGCTCCCGTCCAACTGCTAGCGTGAGCCTCTCCGCCCACCTCGCAGCGCCTTCAGAAATGGCCCGGCTGACTACTCTCGGGTCGGATGCTGCGCGCGGATGCTGCTTGTGTTCTTGTTGCCCTAGCCGAAGTGCTGTTTTCAGGTAGTACAAGCCTGGTAGAGGACGACGATCTAGGCCGAAGACTAGAACGCCCCCTAGCTACTGCGAGGCTTTTAGTAGTCAGTTTGCGTCAAGGCCGGCCGGAAGACACTGGGATAGTTTACCTGTCGCCTTGTAGCCCGAGTATTGTTCGAACCAACTTTAATATGGAAAAGATCTAAGTCTTTCAATCTTTGGAATTCAAATGCTGTTGGTCCTATGAAGAAGAACGAAAGAAGTAAAAGTGATGGATAAGTTTGAATTTGGTATACGTGCTTAATTTTTTTTTCCCGCTACTACGTTGCTATTTGACTAGGACTAGCCCCTATTTCAACAAAGACGTTGCTATTCTTGAGTAGACTTCAACAGTTGCACACAGAAACCCTCTCTATTAATGACCTTTTCTATTTGAAATATGCGCAGCTTTGAACGAAAAAAGTAAAAAAAAGTTGTCTGGTCGTTACAACTGGTTGCGACAATTGGTCCACCATGATCTATGTTTGTGCACCCAGATGATAGTACATTAGCTTACTCTCGGTCGTCATTTTGTTGCTTCAGAAAAAGATGGAACGTAAATGACAACAAAAATATATCCAAAAAATAAGCCTATCGATGCTAGTGGTGCTAGCTTTGTAAATACTACATGTAGATATTCTTTATCTGATACAATACATGGATAATTGCGCATCTACATATAATTTTTTCGCCTCAGCGCTATACCGCTGATGACTTTCCGCAAAAATCTAGAAAATAAATCCAGCCTCCTCTATATCATAATCCGCCCCGAGGTTTGGAAATCATCAGTAAGTATTGCGCACACGGTCGCCCAGTAGGGGACAAAAAACATTTTTTTTTACATTTTGTGAATTATTATGCTTGCATGTAGGACAACGACAACATCTGTTTCAACAAGCAAAAGTAGATGAGAGCCTACCAGTCGCAGTAACCTGAACTTTTGTCCACCACCTTTGGCTCGCGGTTGTTGTTGTTGTTCCCGTTCCCGTACCGGCTACTATTGGGGAGGACCCTGTTGTAGGAGGAGGATCCAGCAGGTCCGCCACTTTTGTTGTCGTCTCGATCTTTTTCCGGCGTTTCATCCCACGCCCTCGCCCACCACTCGTCGTCTGTCTTTTGATACTTCTTGGGCTGGTATCAAAGGTGCACAAGAACTACTCTCCCTTCCGCTCATCGTGTGATGTCATGCCAAATATCAAATCCACTTCTCACTCTTAGGGTCTGGTCGCATGACAAGTTCTCTGTTCCTCGAGTTGTAGAGAAAAAAATGAAGGCCCTAAAATATCCACCTTTTCGCCCATCTTTGAAATTTTGGCCAGTTGATTGCTCGGCGCCCTCACCTATCATCGCGTAGCGCCTCTTCGATGGCGGCTGCGCGTCCGCCTTTGCAAACGCGCTAAGCAGGGCTGTTCTATTTCTGCCCCGAGGCCCGGGGCAGAAACGCAAGCCAACCACCCCAAAGAGAAAAGCCACCCAAACGAGCCCCCCAATCATATGAGGCCATGGAGCCTGAGCGCACCTCTGCTTGCGCAGGTAGGGAAAGGCACCGGTGGTTCTTGAGATTTGAAAAGATGCCCTTTCAGCATCTTTTCACATCTGAAGCGCGTGGCCTTTGGCCTGCAAAATTTGAAAAGATGCTGAAGGAGCATCTTTGCCATAACGAAGCCACAAGAGACCCGAGCAGTTTACTCTTCTGTGGTTTCCAGGATTTGAAAAGATGCTGAAGGAACATCTTTTCGAATTTCAAAAGGCGCAAAAGAGGCGGGTCGCCTGCTCTTCTGTGCTTTTCAAAATTTGAAAAGATGCTCTAGGAGCATCTTCTCAATTTTTGAAGCCGCAGAAAGCGGGGTCGGCTTACTCGTCTGTGGTTTTCAAAATTCGAAAAGATGCTAAAGGAGCATCCTTTCAATCTTCGAAGCCGCAGAAGAGCCGATCCGTTTTCTGTCCTGAGGTTGCCAAGATTCGAAAAGGTGCTGAAGGAGCATCTTTTCAAATTTTACATGCCGCAGACGAGGAGGGCAGCTGGCTGTTCTGTGGCTTTCAGGATTTGAAAAGATGCCGAAGGAGCATCTTTTCAAATTTGAGAAACCACGCAAAGGGAGGTCAGCTCAGTCTTCTGTGGCTTCCAAAATTTGAAAAGATGCTACCAGCGCATCTTTTCAAATTTCGACAGCCGCGGAAAGGGTGGGCAGCCTACTCTTCTGCGTGGCTTTCAAAATTCGCAAACTTGCTGAGGGGGCATCTTCGCAATCTTCGGAGCCACAAAAGAGGCAAGCAAACAGGTGTCGCCAGAGGCACGGCTTTGCTTACCATCTGGCGACCCGCCAGCTGGAGCGCAAGTCAAAGCCTTGGACTTTTGTCAGCAATTCTCTGTCTGGGCGCACCAAGGAGGGTTCCCAAATAGGTTCATCAAAATCCACCATACCATGCGGAATAGCTTAAGTTAATAGCCTCTTGGGAGACCTCATCAAAGAGGTTGCCAAGGAGGTTGTCAAATTTTGAAAAGATGCTGAAGGAAACATCTTTTCAAAATTTGGAAAGTGAGAAGCCACTTATCAAAATTTGAAAAGATGCAGAAAGAGCATCTTTTCAAAATTTGATAGCTTTCAAAGTTGAAAAGATGAGCACTTTGCGTGATGACGATGTTGATAGATTGGTCGCATGACAAGTTCTCTGTTCCTCGAGTTGTAGAGAAAAAAACAGTGCTAGAATTGTTGTCCTTGTTCGGTGGATTTTACATGCGGGAGATGACCCACTTCTGTGCCACTAAAACAACTTGTGTGGCTTCTAATAAATATGCGTTTGTTCAAATGAAGTTGAAGGGGAGGTTCAGCACAACTACAACTCTCGTAGCTGGTCGTCGTGCCGTTTGCTCGGGCTCCTCGGGCGTTTGTTGGTGTGTTCCTTCTCCCTGCTGGAGTAACGCGACGGGCCTGGGCCGCCCAGAATGTCGTGCGAGGAGCGATCGTTCTTGTTGCGAGGAGAGCTTTATCCTGCGTAAAAGTATGGCACTCGTAGTAATTGCATTTATGCATTACAAATCTCTCTCTCAAGGGAAATCACAATGACAAATTCAATTTGTAATCATGCTGGGCTAATTTGTAATGCAATTTATACTAGTACGATACTTTTGCAGTGCATAAGCTTGTTTCACCTCGTCCATCATCTCCCCACGACAGAGACACCGGTCTTTTCGGATTCTTGGCAAGGCCGTCGTTGTGGTTTTTGGCAACTTTATTGCCTCCGCCCGCAAAAGTAGTGTTGTAGTTGGTCTCGATAGACGTTGTGTCCTTTTCTTTGCTTCGGCCTCCACCTCTCGGCTTATTATTATCCTTCAGCTTGCTACTTCGACCACCTCTCGGTTCCCGGGGCAGGCTGCGTTGCTTCACCTTACTTTCCTTGCCACCATCTTCGCGGACGTTATTCGAAGCGCTGTTGACGCGCTCCTTACTACTTCGGCCGCCAAGGAGATGTACGGGTGTGGTCTTCTTATCTTTCACTTTGCTTCCGCCCCGTCCGTTTGGTCGGTTTATCGCGGAAGAAGGACTTCGACTTTTATTTGGTCTTATCACGGAAGGACTTCGACCTGGTCGGTTGATCACGGAAGGACTTCGACTTGGTGCTCGGTAACAACGACCGCCAAGATGTCTATTGTCCGGAGCCGGGCTCCTCCTACGGATCATGTTGTCTCCTCGGTTATCCTGAGTAAAAACGTCATCCCCACGACCCCAGAGTTGTCATGCAAATCTGCATGTTGAAAATACTTCCCATGCGGAGCCCCATGAGAGGCGTTTTCTTTTTGTGTTTCGGAATTTGTCACGCTCCAATCAGCGCGATGTGCTAGATCTGTGACGCTGCTGCACTAGCAAAACAGGACTACACTACGAGGCCAGGCTTGTCATGCAGAACTCCCAGAGCTTGGAGATCATTTCTGTTGCAAATTTACCATTAAGTACTTGACTACGGTGTGGGGACGTTTTTTCACAGGATATCGATCCCCGCCGCCGCCGCGATTGCGACTTCGAGACCGGGATGAACGGCGCAGGGGCCCACGTTGATGATCCGCAATTCGATTAGCGCCAGTGGAGGAGGAAGACGCAGCAAGAGGTTTATTGGTATGATTTCCCCGCAAATGCTCCTGGACGGGCGGACTGAGGGATCTTCCCCGCCTGCCTTTCACTTTGCTCCCACCCCTCCACGTGCTCTTTGGGCGGACTGGGGACACTGCCTTCCGTTTCATCGTCTCATCCCGTTTTGCTTTATATGCTGCGAGCGCAGCACCAGAAGGGGTGAGACCGCGATCCTCCGAGTCACCGTCGCGCCACCCGTCACCCAGTCGAGATTGACCGTCCCGCAAGGCCGACGTCTTCTCGTTCTGTCTCAACAATTTCGCGTCAAGGATTTCGCGCTCTGCCATTTGCTTCTGCGCTGCCTCGCTCATCCCAAAGTGGTTGTTTGTCGCGGAACCGGAAGGAGGAGCGATAAACGAGGAGGAGGAAGCAGCAGCTGCTGCTCCTGCGCTTGTCGTAGTTGCTCCCGCGAAGACTAGCGGCCGTGGCACATAATTCGCAGGCAGCGGCTGCAAGGGGTAGTTCTTGATGTCCGGACGGCCACCCGGATACGCCCTGGGTGCCTTTTGTTCTCGCTGCTGGCGCTGGCGTTCTGCCACATCTTTTTCGCTCACGCTATGAACTGCAAAGGCATCGCACTCGTAGTAATTGGAATTGCAACCATGCAGTACAAATTATCTTTTTCTTAAGGTAAATTTTTATCCGCAATAGAAATTCTATTTCTCATACAAATAATATTTGTATATATGCATTAGTATAGGAGTACGATGCTTTTGCAATTCATACACGTGAAAGAATCTGGGACTTCTGCTACGGCCATTTCGGTCTGCGCGTTCATGCACTTTGAAATCTGGATCATCTTCATCGAGAAAGTCCAGCTCACCCTTGCCCGCTTGCAACTTGAGCTTTGAAGACCGGTCCACTTTATTCTTGCTGGGAGAACGCCCGCGCCCCTTGGCCTTCGCTTTCGGTGCAGGACTTTTCTTCTTGCTTGGGGGCCTTTTGGCGTCCTTGTTCTTACTGGGAGAGCGGGCTCGGGCTTTCGCCTTCGGCGCCGGGCTTTTCGCCTTACTCGGGGGCCTTTTGGCGTCCTTGTTCTTACTGGGAGAGCGGGCTCTGGCTTTCGCTTTCGGCGCCGGGCTTTTCGCCTTACTCGGGGACCTTTTGGCGTCCTTGTTCTTACTGGGAGAGCGGGCTCTGGCTTTCGCTTTCGGCGCCGGGCTTTTCGCCTTACTCGGGGACCTTTTGGCGTCCTTGTTCTTACTGGGAGAGCGGGCTCTGGCTTTCGCTTTCGGCGCCGGGCTTTTCGCCTTACTCGGGGGCCTTTTGGCGTCCTTGTTCTTACTGGGAGAGCGGGCTCTGGCTTTCGCTTTCGGCGCCGGGCTTTTCGCCTTACTCGGGGACCTTTTGGCGTCCTTGTTCTTACTGGGAGAGCGGGCTCTGGCTTTCGCTTTCGGCGCCGGGCTTTTCGCCTTACTCGGGGGCCTTTTGGCGTCCTTGTTCTTACTGGGAGAGCGGGCTCTGGCTTTCGCTTTCGGCGCCGGGCTTTTCGCCTTACTCGAGGAGCTTTTGGCGTCCTTGTTCTTACTGGGAGAGCGGGCTCTGGCTTTCGCTTTCGCTTTCGGCGCCGGGCTTTTCCCCTTACTCGGAGACCTGTTGGCGTCCTTGTTCTTACTGGGAGAGCGGGCTCGGGCTTTCGCTTTCGCTTTCGGCGCCGGGCCTTTCCCCTTACTCGGAGACCTTTTGGCGTCCTTGTTCTTACTGGGAGAGCGGGCTCGGGCTTTCGCTTTCGGCGCCGGGCTTTTGTTTTTGCTGGGTGATCGGGCGTTCCTCTTTTTGCTAGGCGACCGCCCCCTTCCCTTGGCTTTCGCTTTCGGCGCGGGACTCTTGCTTTTGCTGGGCGACCGGGCGTCCTTCTTCTTGCTGCGCGACCGTCCACGCCCCTTGGCCTTCGCTTTCGGCGCAGGACTTTTGTTTGCGCTAGGCGATCGAACCCGGCTAGGACCGCGTCGTTTTGGTAGATCATATCAAATGCAAATATGTCTGGGTGGTCTGGAAGATTTGGAGAGTTTGTCATGCAAATTGTACATTCATGGCCTCCGATGTTGCCTGTGATGCATTCTCTAGCATCACAGCTCTCGCCAAGGTTTGCTCATGCCTATTTTGCATGAGAAATGCCCTCTTTGAGTGGCAACAATCTGAGCGCCTGTTGCCTCTCATGCAATACAGATTTTTTTGTGATCGACAGCTAGCATGATCACAAATCCCATTCTTTCCAGACCCAGACACATTTGCAATTGATAGATCCGCACGTTCTACGATCCCGACGCTTCCTCGTCGTTGCTCGCTGCCACCACCTTGCTTCCCCTCGTCCACACGCTCGTTTTCTTTTTCGAAGCGATCAGCTGCATCACCGTTTAAGCGGTCAGCTGCAGCGGTCTTTTCCTTGCTTTTGCTGCGGCCGCGTTTCATCGGTTCTCGTTTCTTACTCCGTTCTCTTTCCTGGCTTCTCGGCCGGTCATCTTCGCTCTTTTCATTCCTAAGGGGCAGGAGCGCTGGTGGAGGTAAAACAGCCGGTAGTCTCTGAAGTTGTGGTCTACTTTCCGCGGGAGCCGGTCTGCTTTCCTCGGCCGAGTCTTTCTTCTTTGGAGGACTCAAATCGCGCTTCGGGTTCTTGTCAATACCGGAATTGTTGTTTTCCGCTGCGACTACTTCTGCCGGTGGGTTTTGCTGCTTCTCCTTGGTCTTGCTCGCCCCTCGCTTCATCGCAAGCAGGCTCACAGCATCACTTTCTGGTGCCGGAGGTGCTGGACCCAGCTGTTGCTTTTCCTTGCTCTGCCCCCGGCGCTTGGGCGACTCTTTTTTCTTGGGCACCGCTTTATCATTGTTCTTAAGCTTGCTCGCACCCCGCTTGCTCGCACCAGCACTGCTGTCTTGGATCGGCGGAGCTTGCACCTCTGGCTCGTCTTTCTTGGGCCCCTTCTCTTTGTTGTCCTTGAGCTTGCTCGCACCCCGCTTGGTTGCACGGGCGTTTCGCTCCGCATCCACTGCTCCACCCAACAATAATAGCACATTGCTTCGCGCCCCCGGAGGTTCCACCTGACCTGCCGACTGAGAGGACACTGTCATGCCTACGCAAGAAGATGAAGCAGAAGCACTTGATGGCGGCGCGACAGCAGCTTGCCTGGAAGATGAAGCACTTGATGACGCGACAGCAGCTTGCTTCGTCGTGGTGTTGGGCTGCTTTACTAGAAGCTCGGGTTGTCGGTGTCCTCTTCGTGCTTGTTCACCTTTCTGCTTATCACCGTCTTGTTTGGTGCCCAACAGGTCCCAAAGTGCGTCGGCTGTAGTGACTTCCTTCTGCACTGCAACTGCAGGGGCGCTCGTGCCCTGATTATCCGTGCTTGCATCTCCTGCCACGACCGCGGTGTTGGAGGAAGAGGAAGCAGCTACAGTATCTTCTCGCGGGACTGGCGGGTCGTCCCGCAGCACTGCAGAGGCGCTCGAAGGCTGATTTTGGGCGCTTTCATTTTCTGCCACCGGATTTGAGGATGTAGCTTCAGCATCATCTGATTGCGGGAGTGGTCGTGCTTCCTCTTTCTGCTGATTAACGTCTTGACCGCCCAACATGTCCCAAAGAGCGTCGGCTGTGAGCTGCTCCTGCTGCACTGCAGGATCAGTTGTGCTCTGATTCATTTGGTTGCTCTGATTTCCTACCACCGCGGCGTTTGAGGAAGAGGAAGAGGAAGCAGTGGCAGCATCTCCCGGGATCGGCGGGTTCCGCAGCGCTGCGGCTGTGAGCTCCTCCTGAACTGCAGGGGCGCTCGTGCTCTGATTTATTTGGCTACTTTGATTTCCTGACGCCGCAGCGCTTGAGGAAGAGGAAGAAGTGGCAGCAACCCGCGGGAGAATTGCCGGGTCCCGTAGCGCACCAGCTGAAAGTCCGTCCTGCACCACTGCAGGGGCACGCGTGCTCTGATTTTCCGTGCTTGCAGTTCCTGCCACCGGGTTCGAAGAGGCAGCTTCAGCATCTCGCGGCTGTCGTCCCGCTTCATCTTTCTGCCTACTAACGTCTTGCCCCAACATGTCCCAGAGTGCGTCAGCTGTGAGTTGTTCCTGCTGCACTGCAGGGGCGCTAGTGTTGCCCTGAAGATTCTGGGAGGTGCTTTCATTTCCTGTCGCCAGATTTGATGAAGAGGAGGAAGCAGTGGCAGCATCTCGCGGGATAATTGACGGATCCGGCAGCACTTCAGCTGTGGGTCCCTCCTGCACTGCAGGGGCACGCGTGTTCTGATTTTCATCCGTGCTCTCGTTTTCTGCCACCGGATTTGAAGACGGGGCAGTGTCAACAGCATCTCGCGGTCGCGGAACTGGTCCTTCATCTCTCTGCTTATCCTTGTCCTCACCCAACATGTCCCACAGCTCGTCGGCTGTGATTTGTTCCTGCTGCACCTCTGCAGAGGCCGCGCTAGTGTTGCCCTGAAGAAGATTCTGTGTGCTTTCATTTCCTGTCGCCAGATTTGCGGAAGAGGAAGCAGTGGCAGCATCTCGCGGGATAATTGCCGGATCCCGCAGCGCTTCAGCTGTGGGTCCTTCCTGTACTGCAGGCGCACGACTCGTGCTCTGATTTAATGTAGTTTGGTTGCTTTGATTTGTTCCTGCCAACGCGGCGTTGGAGGATGAAGACAAGGAAGCAGCCCCGACATCATGATCTTCTCGCGGAATAATTGCCGGAGGGTCCCCCACGGCTTCGACTGTGAGTTCGTTTTGCACAACTGCAGGGGCGCGGCTCGTGCTCGGAATACTATTCTGGGTACTGGCAGACGCGACGTTTGAGAATGCGGCATTGGACGTCGCCGGGTTGTTGGCTTGAACAACTACATCCGCACGATTTGCAGTGTTGGAAACAACAACCCTCTCTTGAGGGATGCTTTTATCATCTTCCGCCACCGGATGTTGAACGAGATTTGTTGAGGAACCAGAACCAGAACCAGCATTCGTGTTGTCCGTGGAGAAGTTCTCTGGTCGTGCAGCGACCCGTTTCATCTCCTGCGCTGTTGAGGGACCAGCGCGATCTCCAGGTCGTCTCTTCAGAACTATGGACTGCAAATATCCCTGGATGTCTGGGAGATTGCGAGATTTATCATGCTAGTCTGGCATGACTCTGAACTCTGTATTGCGTGCCCGCGAAGAGCTCTTTCCGTCTGTGATGCACAAACGCGGTTTCTAATGGAGAGTGCGCAACTTTGCTGAACCTCCACGGAAAAACTTGTCATGCGGGGCAGCGCATTGCAGTGCACTCACGCTTGTTCCCTTTCTTGCATCACAAGTTTCCAGACATCATCCAGGGATATTTGCATTTCATAAGAACGAGCTCCTCGCCATCGTCCTCCTCGACAGCATCGGAGGTCGTGCTAGATTGCATGGTCAGTTCCGCAGATAGCAAATTCCCTACCTGCGGCCGTTGCTGCCCTGCGTCGGCTGCCACCACACCAGGTCTCGTCTTCAGAACGAGCTCCTCGCCATCGTCCGACTCTAGTATTTCTTCGGCAGGTCGTGTCGTTGTACTGGGCAGCTCTGTGTTGTTCTTGGTCGTGTTGTTCACCTCCTTTATAATTGCGCAGGAGCTGGAACTACTGCTACTACTACTGCTAGTGCTAGTGCTTTGCGCAGGAGCTGGAACCACTGCTAGTGCGTCGTCTGGCTCGATAGAAGACGCAGACGGCTGCTCGGGCAAAATATTCTCGTCTAGAATTTCTGTCGAGCCTTTCGGATTTCGATATCCCTGCTCCTCTCGGACCATTTTCACTTCTTGATCATTTTCCGTTGTCTTTATTGTGCTCTTCGTCAGCTCCGCGGGAGGATTTTTGTCCGCCGCAGCAGTAGTTTCCGTCGACGCAACAATCGGTTGTTTCTTGTTCTGCGAGGCCGCTGGCGCAACGGTGACTTCCTTGTTCCTCTTCGTAGTAGTGGCTCTATTGATATTTTTGGACGAGGGGGGCAACATTCGACGGCCAGAGCTCTTCAATCTCGGTGGTGGAGGTGGAAGAACTGCATTTGATAATATGTTTTTCGCGGCTGGTTTAATATGTTCATTGTCCGAAGATGCAGATGAAGGAGCTCCTTCATCGGCTTTCTTGCTAGTTGTACTTTTAGTGCTGAACAAACCGGCTGTGGTTGTGGTCTGTACCGCCTCTACTAGAAGTTCGTCGCCGTTCTTTTCCGGTTCTTTTGTGATAACGTCGTCTCTATTCCCTGTTTGCTGCAGACCTCGTGGCGCATCTTGTTCTCCTGCGGGGGCCATCTCGACGCTCATGTTAATATTATCGTGGTCCGAATTCTTATAGCAATCCGACTGCAGCTCCATCTGGATGTGGTCCTCGTCTTCTTCCTCGTCTTCCTCCGGCGGCAGCAGGAACGGGGCAAAAGGAGTAGCATTTCCTTCTTTGGAATATCTTTTCATCCTCGTAGAAGCTGCCCGGGGCGCCTTGGAGAACAACATTTTCGTGTTGTTTCTTGTCTTCCCGACGTCCGGAAGATCCTCCAGGTCATCGTCGGATCCTGTGCAAAAGTATCCTGGCGAAAAGTATCGTACCCATATAGATGCAAATCTTGCATTACAAATCTTTTTCTTAAGGTAAATCCGCATTACAGCTTTTTTCTCTCATGCTAAGGAAATTTGTTATGCATTTATACGAGTACGATACTTTTGCAGTTCATACTAGCAGAAACCTGACCTTTTGGGAACTTTTGGCAGATTTTCTGGCGGGTTTGTTCTTGCTTGTGGTAGAAGTTCCACCCGCTCCAGAGGTCGCGGAAGGAACCGCAGACTTTTGAAGATCTTCGGCCGAAGGAGTTCTTGCAACAGGTGTGCTACAAAAACTTGCCTCGTTACTGTTGGTGTTGCTGTTTCTGCGCATACTATTTGACGAGTTGCCCTCCATCATATCACTTTCCAGGTTGAGATCATCGTTAAACTCCATGCTGTTGTTCCCATCGTCATTTGAAGATGTTGAACCGACATCTTCGTCCTCGTCCGAGAACACCTCTCTCGAACGGGACATGAAGCGGTATGGAGAAGATGAACCACAGGCGTCGTCCTCCGCCGAGAGATCATGTTCTTGAACATCATTTGCAGCTTTATCACGAGAACCTCCTTTCTCCAACGCTTTCTTCACCCGATTCCATGCCTTTCGGCTCTGCTGATCCGGCAATTGGAGCGAACGGTCGAGTTCCCGGAGCTGGGGGCACGTGCGCAGCGGGTCGAGCATGTTGTCTTCGATCCAGTTCTACCAAATGTAAAAATGTCTGGGTCTGGAAACTTGTGATGTAAGTCAGTCAATAACAAATGCACTGTAATGCGCCGCCAAGCATGACAAGTTGCTTCGTGCTTCTGTGCTGCGTATTCCGCATGAGAAACTGCGTTTTTGCATGACAGGCGAGAGAGGCTGTTTGTGGCCACGCAATACAGATTTAAGGGCCATGCCAGATCAGCATAACAAATCTCGCAATCTTCCAGACCCAGACACTTTTACATTTGATAAGTTCAAAAGATTATTATAAATGTCATGCTGATTCGTTTGCTGCTGCTGCATCTCCAGCTGCACAGCCGCGGGGCGTAATTTTTTAAAGTTCATATCCGCCACCAGCTGTTGCTGTACCCGAAGAGAAGATGAATCTTCCCATATCAGCTGCTTCCTCTGCTCCGAGAGAAATTGCAAAAACCCCAGTTGCTTCGCGTTCTTCACGCTGCAGATCTTCTGCTGCCTTGCCCCCCGCAGACCCTCGGCCAGGAGCAACCATTCCCTGCAGCTCACATGGTCGAGGCGCAGGTTTTCCCGGTCCTCCGCTCCGAAAGAGTGGCCGAACTGGCCCAGCGCGACGCACACGAAGGCGTCTGCCGGCGAGAGATCCGGGGTGGCATGTACGCCGGGGGGAAACACGTCCGGTGCGTAATTCATCCGGGCCTGATCGACCACGGTTTCTGGTGGTGTTTGAATTGCAAGTTGTTGTAGTCCCAAATCAACATCTTCGCGCCGCTGCAGCTGTCGTGCAAACTTGTCCTGTTCGAGAACCTCGTGCACAAACGCGGGTCGGTATTCGCAGAGACGGTGAATTTCTCGTCCGTCTACCGGAGGAAGTACGACCTCGCTCTTTCTCCTTTTGGCTTTGCTTTTCGACATGGAACAACTGGCTGAAGACGAAGAGGAGGATGAAGACGATGTTCCTGATCCACAGTTGTTGGTGCTGGTATTTTTATTACCCGTCTTCAGTTGCACTTGCAGCTGCTCCGATTTTTTATCGGACGAGAGCTGTTGCTTTTGTTCTCTGATTTCCGTAAAATACGTCTGTGCGCAGGGCTGCCACGCAAACCCCGCAAGCGTACTCGCGGACAGCCGGCACCATGCAACATTCGGCCCGTGCTCCGCCTGCTTAACCATCAGCTCCTTGGCGGCGGCGCCTTTTTGCATGTCCATCTTCATGGATGGGATTTTGGTTTTGTAGAAATCAAACAACGCCTTCCTGGGTGTACTTCCTTTGCCGGTCGTGTTGCTCCTCATCTCCGACTCCGCTGGCGAATCTTCATTATTTTCAAGAAACGCCAGCGCTGCCGCTGCGCGATCGCCACGCTCAATGGTTTCTTCCCATGCCTCGCAAACAGTATCAGTTTTCCACCTGGTAGCCTGCAAAGGCAGGATTTCTCCAGTGCACAGCAGCGTTTTCACGGAAAAGTCCTGGGTTTTCGCCTCCATTTTTGCCCACCGGTCCAGTTTCGGCGCCGCAATGGACAATTTTCTCCGGTCGTCCTCCGACTCCCAACTGTCCACGTAGTCGTGTTGGAAGATGTTCTTTTTCGGCTCTTTGGAAAAGCACTTCCTCAGGTCATTCCACGCATTTCGCTTCTCCACTTTAAGGCTCACGACTTGATTTAACGTTTCGCCGCTACTTGATGTGGACGTTGTTCTTGTTGCTGACGATGACGTACTAGTTGCCACCGTTTTGTTGAAATCGACTTCTTTCCGCTCAATCTGCACCCACAGGTCGCCCTTGTCCATCACAAGGGCTTGTTTGTCCCGAAGAAACACGTACATGTCCGCAAGTTTCGGGCTGGCAGGACCAGCAGTGGGGGTCGGGTCCGCGCTGGTGTCCACATCCTGTTCCTGTAGCAGGTCCTGTTGGAAATGCCTTTCGCAGAGGATCAACTGTAGAATCTTCCAGATGCAGGTATTCAGAAAGTACTGCTCGTGGCTGGCAATGGTGGCATCGTATTTGTTGAAATCAACTGACTTTGCTCCACTTGGTGGTGTGTTGTACAACGGGGAGGTATTGTTTCTACCGCTCCCCGAAGCAGTCGTGTAGCTCTCTGGAGAGAAGTAGCCTCCTGCCTGTTGATTCATTTTTTCCTGCTGAAGTTGAATCACGTAAGATTCCGCACGGAGCAAACTGAAACACACTTCCAGCCGAAAAACGGGGTCGCGCCAAACTTCCGACTGGAGCAAGAAGTCAGCAACTTTTCCGATTGCTTTCTCGTCGTTATTTCTCAAAGCCTTTTCCTTCCACGATTCTACTTCCTCCGGGCCTAAATTTTCTTTCGCAGAAAAGAGGTCAATGAGCCGGTTGAGTAACCGTGCGAGCGGTCGTCGCTGAGGTGGATGGTCGTGCTCTTGGTCTGCAGCCAATGCCACTTGATCCGTCGCGGCCGTGTGCAACATCTTCGCGGATCGTAGCTCGTCAGGAGCTTCGACCACGCTGTTCAAAGTTTCTATCGGATCTTCACTCCTCAGTGCGGCCGTGATTTCGCGCTTGATTTTTTCCCGTGACGTCTTCCGTGCGTTCGGTGCGAGCTCCTCGTTGGTCTGCACAGCCCACACATTTTGCAGCTGGAGCTCCAGGTACAGGTCGGCCATCGCGTCCGCCTGCAGGAGCATGTTCGCGTCTTCAACCGCGTAATCGACAAGAGAGGTTTGCGTCCGCGTGCACCGCTCGGCCTCTTCCACGTATCAAATGCAAATATGTCTGCGTCTAGATCTGTGATGCGAGATCTGCAGTACAACAAGATCTGTAATGCATGAATGCGATTGATCAAGTTTTTTGTCATGCTGGAAGCGAGTTTCGCATGCGTCTACGAATGAATCGGCAACAAGTAGCCTTGCAAAACTACTGATGCTGTTATGCCGTACAAACTCCTACCTTGCGATGCCAGCTTCCGCAACACAAATTTCCAGACCCAGAAATATTTGCAATGCATATTACGCGCTTCCGCGCAATCTTGGCTTTGGTCTGGGTTTCCTCGTTCTGCCGCATGTAGAGCTGCTTTTTCCAGATGTGGTCCCGGTCGATGGAGTTCAAGCCTGCTCCGTTTTGCACGAAGGAGTTATGCGGACGGCAGAAGGGAAAGTCAAATTTCCCCACTCTCTCCGTGCTACTGCGATCTGCGAAGGGTTCCCGAACCTGATCCAAGTCGACCCGAGCGTAGAGCTATGCATTGCAAAAGTATCGTTCTCCGATACTAATTGCAGTTATACGCATTTTCATATACAAATCTCTTTCTTCAGGTATTAAATCTGCATCACAAATTTCATTATGCAAAGCTGAGCAAATTTTTCATGTGGTTTCTACTAGAAAAGTACGACACAGATACTATTGCAGTGCATAACAGTGCTCCACTCGTCGCAGGGACAGTAAGTGGTCCACGAAGCTGTTGCCGCGGCGATAATTTTTCAGATGATCCAACATGTCCTTTCGCTGATGCTTGCTCGATGTAATTTCCCTGCAGCTGCTGCTCCTGAATATTAGAGACGGTTGGTTCCTTACTGCTGCTGCTCACCGCACTGTATTCCTGGTCGGCACCGGCAGACGTCGTGGCGGACGAGCTGGTTTTGCTCGCGTTTTTGATAAGGCCGTCGTCCTCGCCGTCCTGCTTTCTCCTTTTGGTGCCATCCTGTTCTACTCCTTCGTCCGCCGTCTCATCTTGTTCCTCGCGTATTTTCAAGGGATTCTTCTTCGGACGCCCACGCGGTTTCGGTGGCGGCTTTGCCGCGGAAATCGGAGCAGCTGCCGCGGAGGAAGCAGAGGACGCCGCTCCCGCCCCCGCGGAGGAAGAAGAGGCACCTGCAGTTCCGGCTGCAGCGGGCGGCGCAGCCGCGCTACTGTCGTTTTTCGCGTTTTCTTCAAACTCGTCTGCTGCAGCCTTCAGCTGCAGTTCTGCCTCTGCAGCGAGAGTCTTTTTATTCTTGGAGCCGAGCGGCCGGCCCTTTTTCTTCATGGGCGGGTCGAGCAGACCACCGGCCCCGTCTTGTTGCACTACAGGGTCTACATCTTGTTGTTCTGATTCCACTTCTTCTGCAGAAGAGGCCCGACTTCTGCGCGCAGCTTGTTTACCATTATTACTCTTTCTGGCAGCCTTGGCTTTCGCTTTCTCTTTCGCTCCACCTCTGGCTCGGGACTTGGACTTACCTCGCGCATTGTGATTCACTCCCCGCGCAGTGGATTTGTTTCCCCGCGCAGTGGATTTGTTTCCCCTCGCCTTGGCCTTCGCTTTATTCATCATTTTGGCTTTGTTGTTACGCGTTGTCCAATCCTCATCGCTCGTATCCTCGGGGTCATTTTCGTGCTGCCCCTCGAAATTGGGACCACTTTTGGAAGAGAAAAAATTATCGCTTTGCTCCTCGCTCTCGCTTGACGGTGCGTCCGCAGCGTGTTTGCCTTCCTCGTCAGTATTATTTCCAAATAAGCCGGCAATTGTCTTGCGTGCTGCTGATGCAGCAGCAGCAAATACTCGGCCCGGAAAAAGCGCGACCTGTTCTTCGATTTTCACCTCTTCATCTAGCTCTGCAGCCACTTTGGCACCGGGAAACGCCGCCGGCCTCGCTTTCACGGCTGGCCGGGCCGGTGGTTTGAAGTTGCTTTGCTGCGCAAGAAGAACGCGATGTGGATCGGGAATCATCTTGTTGTGTTCGCCTTCCATGGCACGGGGCTGTTTGGTTCCCACCATCGAAGTAGTACCACGTGCTTTGCTTTTGTTGGCTCTCTTGTTGTTTACCAGGGCGGGACCGGGTGCAGCAGCACTACTGGAGTTCTTGATTTTCATCGCCTGGTGCTTCTCGAACGACTTCAAAACCGCGTTTCGCCGCATCACATCCGTGTTGTAGTCTCCGTGTACGCGGTTCAATGCCTTTTTGTCCTTTTGCTGGTCGTCGGTGAACCGCGTCTGCAACGTCTGTAGTTTTAAGCGGTTCTTCTCCGCATGTTGCTTCTGCATCTCCAGGTACGTACAGGTGTGCCCGATCTCCCGGCAATTCCGCCGCAAGTCGGTCAAAATGTCCTCCTGTATGACACTGCACAACTCCCCCACAACCTCTATTTGTGTTGCATGAACAGCAATACAAACACCCGCACATGTGAAGCCTGTACATGACAAATTCATGCGAGCAATTTAGTACTGTTTGGGCAGCTTCCGGAATGTGTCATGCAAACAGAACCACACGGTAGCGCTTGGATTTGCTAAATTTGCATGACAAATGAGGGGGAAGGGGAGTTGTGCACTGTCATATCCTGCTGATGGTTTTCGTCCAACGAAGTGTTTGTAATAACTGGCTCGTACAGCATCCAGACGTCGGGCTGCAGTAAGCACAGCTCCTCGCGCGTATCAAATGTAAAAATGTCTGGGTCTGGAAGATTGCGAGACTTATCATGCTGGACTGGCATGACTCTGAAATCTGTATTGCGTGGCTGCGAAGAGCTCCTCCTCGCTGTCATGCAAAAACGCAATTTCTCCTGCGGAATACGCAACTCAGACCCATGAAAAAAACTTGTCATGCCTGGCAGCGCATTACACTGAGCTAACTAGTCCCTTCCTTGCATCACAAGTTTCCAGACCCAGACATATTTGCATTTGATAGCGCGGGAGGACGTGCGACTTCCCGTACGAAGCCCCCGCACAGTACACCCAGGCAGGAACGAGGTACTTCTGCATCCTGGGAAAGTTCGCTTCCTCCAGCACAGGCGTTACGGTCGCATCCAAGTCAATATCGTCGTCACTTGGGCAAGGACTACTTTGGCTTGACTCAACATCTACTTCCGAATTGTCACAGCTAGCGCTGTTGTTTTCGTCCGCGTTCTCCTTTTCCCGCAGCTCCGCCGATTTACTCTCCGCTTCTTTCCTTTCCTTGTCTTTCGCCTCCTGTTCCCTCCTCGCCTTCAGTTCTGCCACCTTCTTCACGTACCCCTCATCCACCCGGGCCCACTGGGATTTCGCGATCTTTTCCGGAAAGTTCATACCAAAATTCGAGTTGCCGTCCGGCCGGTACCACGGGAAGAAGGGAAACGTCACCGGCTTTTGCAGCTCGAACTGCGGATAGCTGCCTCCGATCCGGTCTTCCACTAGTTCCGTCCGGCTCATCTCGGCCCAGGTCTGCAGGTTTCCCTCGTTGTCGCGCTTCTCTTTTCGAATTCTAACCAGGTTCGCGTCGTAGCAGTTGTCAGGCAGCACAATGAGATTCTGCGTACTTGGTAAGGTTCCCCTCACTCCTTGCCGGATCATGTAGTTGTAGTTCATCTTGTCTGTATCGGGGCAGTATGCCTGTTGGCGGTTCTTCTCTGACGTAAGAACGCAGTTAGCCTCTTTGTTCTTAGCCCCGGCAGGCGAGGAAAAACTACAATCCCTGTTTCTATTCGCTTCTGGCGAAGTAGATGAATACATGTTTTCGTGCTGCATTTCCAAAGCCCGCAACCAGTCAAATCCATTGCGGATCTTGATAGTCGTCCCACCAAAAGAAGCTTCGTGGTCCTCGTTCACTGGAAGGAGCTTCACGTTTGGAATCTCCGTGTAGACAACGTCAAAGTTGTTTTCAGCATTCGGATCTTCCGGATAATTCTCCTCATCGCCTATAAAGACCGGCAGCGTGATTTCCTGTAGCTCCGCCGACACGCAGACAAATTGGTACTGCACCGGCACCAGATACGGAATGTTTTTCATCCGCCCGTCCGCGTTCGCCGGCGGAAACGAAGTGCTGGTCCCATTGTAGTAATCCAGCAGCGGTTGCGGTTTCCGTATCGCCGTTACCATCGTCAAGTACGGGAGTTTAAACCTTTCCGGAAGCTGCTCGTCAGCAGAACAAGTCTCTGGTGCGCGCATGTGGGAGTTCGTGATCGCGTCGTAGAACCGCCGTTTTTTCTCCAAAATCTCAGCAGCGGGAGGTGTTTCCGCGAAGAACTCTCGCTCTAGCAATTCTGGAGTGATCGGAATGGCTCTCGGTTTCAAAGTTTCGACGGGGTTCTGTTTCTTGCTCCTCTTGCTCGCGGTTTTTACCGATTTATTTCCATCGTTCAACATCTCCTTGTCATGCTTTGTCGTGGCCTGCTCGTTTGATAATATTTTTCCCGCTTGTTTAGAAGTACTATTCGGTGCAGTCCAATGCGGGAACGCGACGAGCATCTGCAGGTACAGCCACTGCTCTGGGCTTTCCTGAAAATAGTTCCACAAGTCGGGTTTGTCCACCAGGGGAACGTCGTAGCTGAAGCAGGTGGTGACATCCCCGTCCTTTTTAAACCGGTCTTCGTTAAACTCGATCGCTTTGTCTCGGACCCCTCTGCGAACCAGACTCCGGCCCTTCATCAACGGCGGTATGGGTTGTATCACGGCACCAGTTGATGCACCGGAAGCTCTTTCTTGCGCAGAACGAGTGCGACTGCTATCATTGGTAAAATTGCCGCAAGGGAGCTGGTACTCGTAGAGGGTCTGGCCCTTGGCACTGTTGTCGCTGAGCAAAAGATTTCTCCTGCCGCGACGCAAGCGCCGGATACCGCTGGTCTCCATTAGCCCTCGCCACACCGCGTCCACATTCCGCCGCATCATCGCCTCGCTTAACGAGAGGTGGCCTTGCTTCTGTTTTTCTACTTGTTCGGCGTTTTTACTGTTGTTCTCCTCTTTTGATGCGGAAGAAAATGCTGCTGAGGCGTTCGTACTAGCACCGTCGTCCTGGCTATTGTTGTTCTTCTTTTCGTGAACCCCGTCGCGGTCGTTGTCGTCGTCGTCGCCACCTGTATTGTAGACAAAAATGTTGTCCTGATATCGAAAATCTATATCATTCACTTCATCGTCGCGCACATATTTTTAGTGCAATTTCAACCACAGCCACCAGAAACACAACTACCTGAAATAACAAACATGAAACCACAAGTAAACCATCGATGTCACCACGTCGGATTATTATACCAGACATATTATCGTCTTCCCCTCCGCTCGACCCGGACTGGGTGGATCTATTTTGGTGTTGACTGCTCGAGCTGCCCTATCAGAAAGAAACATCCCCCCTCCCCATATCGAGACGAAGTTTCTGATGCTGGATTTCCGTACACAAATGCGCGCTGTCTTGCAATACGGCATCGCAGCCCGATTCTCAGTCAAGGAAGGGGCGCTTAGGTCTAGTTGCTTAGCATTACAAACGGCTGACCCCTAGGCCCAAGAGCATGCCAAATCGCTTCCATAATGACGCGGAAGCCTCTGCACTTGTCTTCTTGCAAGACAGACGTGATTTGTGCTCTCAAATCAGCAAGAGAAATTTTCGAAAACATACCTTTTCGATATGGGGAGGGGGGATTTTTCCTCTCAATATGCCCGTGCCGCTCTTCTGAGTGGACTTCGTCGGCAAGCGCGTGCTCAAACCATCCATTTCCGCTCCCTGCCAAAAATCCAACTCGATCTCCATGTCCTCGTCGTCCAAGTGCTGGAGCAACCGCCCAGAGGGTAGAGTAGTACCTTTGATTTTGACGAGACAAGGACTGCTGTTGTTTCTACTAGGAATTCATGGGAACTATGTATCAAAAACCACACGAAAATAGCACTCGTTAGTTTGTAGCTACCTTCTGCTTCGCGTACGACATCCATTTCATCGTCCTCACACGGCTTCAAATCCACTTCTCCTTGCTCGGCGTCGACACCAGGAGCGGCCTGCAGCTCATCTACCACGATTCCTTTCACCAGAGCAGCAGAAGTTCTTTCCTGCCTTTTCACCGCCTCTACTTCGGCCTGTTTCATCCCCGTCTGGATTCGTTTATCCTTCGCAACCTCGTCCGCTTGCGCCAAGATCGTTTTCGCAGCGCTTGCTAACAGTTCTTGTTCCGTTTTTTGGTAGATTACGGTGGCCATTTGCAAACACGCTTCGTTCCAGTTGTGCTCCACCAGAGCCGGAAACTTCACGCTCACGTTGGAAGACGGGTCGCTTTGCTCGTAGGTCCGCGTGAAAATCGCTCCGTCCGGAAGACCGGGGTAATAGACGGTAGAATTTTTCGCCGCACAAGAACCGCCGATGTTTTTCGTCAACAACATCGTGTCTTCAAGTCGATCAAACACTCGGTCGTAAAAGTCGGAACTCTTGACTTTCTGCCTCCCCCGCTCCTCGGGTCGCGGGTATTGCCGAAAATACCAGGACATCTGCTGTGCGAGCAAGCCGCAGGGGAACAAATCGTGATTTTTACCGTCGGTCAACCGCAGGTACACGGTGAGAAGCTGGATGTAGCTGGCCGCATTTCCCTTCGAGAGGAGCTTTTTCACGCGTCCTGCGGCCTCTTTCAGCGGAAGAAGGTAGTGGTGGTGGTCGTCGTCGTCGTGGGTGCGCTTATCGGATGAAAACACGTTTTCAACGAAATCCGCAAACATTTCGACGATCGCAGCGACCTGTTCCCGTCTCTGCAAGTTGCTGCAGAACTGCAGGGTCGTGGTGCATGAGCGATCTTGGTGTTTATCTTTGCCTTTAGAACAAGTGTCGTCTACAGCTTCTTCGCCGAAGTAGAAGAATTTGTGCCGGTTCTGCGCGAGAGGGTCGAGGACCGCCTTTTCCGGAAACAAATAGTCCACGTACAAGGCTTTCTTTCGCAGCTGCTCTGGATCTTTGGACGATCCGGAAGCTGTGGTTGTTCCAGACACTTCGTGCAGCAGATCCAGCTTTTTCTGCAAAAGACCACCTCCCGGGTTGTTCCTTCCGTGCGAAGAAAAACCAGTAGTACAGCCCGAATTGACTGTCTGGCGCACGAGTTTGTAATGGTTCACCATTCTGCTGGTTTTTTCAGAAAGAACTTTTGCGTGATTCATCGACGAGTCCGGACAATCCTCGTGCCTCGGAGCATCTGGTTTTGCGGGAGAGGTTACACGACCAGCGGCAGTGGTTGAACCGATTTTCGCTTTGTTAGTTTCATCGTCCCCGTCTTGTTCGTCCAGGTGGTCCTCATCTTCAACAACATCTTCACCAGCGGTGGAGCGCAAATCTTGTTCGGGAGAAGGAGCACCTGGTCCTCCTCGTCGCCCACAAAAACGATCTTCATTCGTCGGAACAACGATTCTGGAAGTCGTCGGAATCAGGGAAGAAGATAAATGATGTAACAGATCGCAATAAACGTCCGTGATTTTTCTTTCGTTTTGTTTCTCCTCCAGAAAAGAAGCGGAATATCCCGGGTCCAGTTCGTAAACTAAATGTTGTACGTTCTTGCTCATCGTGGTCTTTTGCTCGAATAAGTTGTGCATCTTTGTTCCGCGGTTCTTTTTCGTCTTTTGCTCGACAAATTCATCCACGTCGCTGCTGCCCGTCGTCTCGGAATCCGGATCAAAGTTCTTCGGCTTTCGCCACTTCCACGCGAGCTGTTGGGGCGGACAGATCGGCTTGGTTTTGTTCAATATTTGCTCCATTTTTCTTGGCGAGGAAGAGGACGTCGACCTGGTCGAAGATATACTCCGGCTTCGCGTCGAACTCGTGGCCTGCTCGTCTACTTCATGACCCACCTTTTCGGAAAACAGGTTTAACTTCTCGCCGTCGGGATTATAACGCCTGACTTTGTCAAACACCGAATTCTTGGCGTGCTTATTCGGCCGGCCCAAGGCTTTGTGTTTCTTGAATTCCGCGTCACAGATAACTGCTCTCTGCAACTGCGCACACTTGATGGTGGTTGAACGTTTATTATTGGGTGGGACAACTGCTGGATCGGGATCCACTGGAACTGATTTAACATCTTTGTTGAGTGTAGTATTTTGATGTTTCTGGCTTACCAGCAGCTTGTTGTTCACTGCGGTAGTAGTGGAAGCTCCTGCTGCATTCCCTGTCGTGGTCGATGCAGCGTTCTTGTTCTTAGGAGGTGGCAGCATCACAGTTTTCGCCGCTGATGTCTTCGTAGTTCCAGAAGCTACCACTTTTACTGCAGCACCTCCCGCTGCCCCTACCGTATTATTACCGGCCGCCGCGGGCTTTTTTGCTTCGCCGCGCAGGTTCGGGAGCTTCTTCAAAAATTGCGCCCCGGCAAGCTGCGGCTGCCCCGCCGGGGGTTTCTGTTTAGAAGTATTTCCAGCTTGTTTTTTTACCGTGGCTCCTGCTGCGGCTCCTGCCTGTCGACGCTGCGTCCGTACGCCGGCAGCTGTCTTTCCCGCCAAGGTAGTTGGACTGCCCACGGCTTTCTGGATGTCTTCTTTCGTGCACTTTTTCCCGTTTTTCACCAAATCGGCGAGGGCCGCGAGCTTGGCCGTTTGCGTTTCCTTCTTCGTCTGAGCCGCGCCGGTTTTCGCAGCGTCCCCATTTTTGATGCGCTCCGGGATGGGCAGGACGGTGCGAACGGCTGTACTTTTGGCGACAGTCGTATGATGTTGAGCATGCACTACGGGTCGCGCTCGCGCAGCTGTTGCACCAGCCAGTGCAAAACGGGAACGCAACAATCTGCGGAGTTCGTAGTCGTCTTCCTGGTGGCGAATGCAGGCGCGCCGTTTCTTAGGCGAATTCTGCAAAAACTTGGTTAACGCCAGCTGAGCCGCTTTCGGCGAGTTGCCGCCGTGTTCGTGCGGTTTCTTGTCCAAGAACCGGGGCTCTGTACGACCGGAAAAAAACTCGTCACCGAAGAGAAAGCTGTTTAAGCTCGGCCAGTGGGGGACTCCCGAGTTGTCCACCTCCTCATCCAGGTTTTCTGGTGCGACGCACTCACGATCTTCCACTGCTTTCTCCATTTTTTCGAGAAAAGCTGGTAAAACTGAGAAAGTCTCAGCAATCTTGGCGACCGTGTGCTTTCGGCGATCGAGGAAATTAGCGGAGAGCTGCTTTTGGAGAGAAGCTTCGTCTTCAGGCTCATCTTTTCCAACAGTAGCTTCTTCTTCGGCGTTTTCTTTCTGGTCCACAGTGATTTTCGTCGTAGTTCTTTCCAGAGAGCTGGTTCCAACCTTATCATTCTGTGCTATATTCTCCTTGATGTTGCCCGAAGGTTTCATATCCTCCTTCTTTCCATCTCGCACGACGTCCTCAAGCTGAGTCACATCAACTTCTGCTGAAATGACCTTGCTCGTTTTGCCTTCGTCTACCTCCAACAACTTCTTCTCGCCCAGCAAGTCTTCTGCATCAACGTGATCGCCGGAGTTCTTGCGCAAGAAGACTGCGCCAGTCTTCTCTTCCACTGTCACTTTCTGTTTCTCCATCTCCTCACCTTCTACCACAGTCGTGGTGGTCCCTAACGCTTTAAAAACTTTGTCCGCAAACTGGCTCCAAATCCGTTGTTGCATCTTCTGCCTTGTTCCCTGCCTCACTTGCAGAAGTGAAGTTGAGACATTGTCACGGGCTTCCAGTCCGCGTTTCTTGCTCCGCGGACCGACCGTGCCGTGTACCTTCGTGGTTGACACATCCGCCGGTTCCAGATCGCCGGTCTTACTTTTCGAACTTTCTCTCACAACAATAGCCCCGGAAGTAGTTGTACTATCCTGAATGTCGGAAAGCTTTGTCGCAGTAGCGTAATCGATAATTGTTGGCTTCGTCCCTCGCCGCACCTTTTGCACCGGGGTTGGAACGGTTTGCACGAAAGATATGTCGCAGTGCTGTCGGGAATAGGAGTTCAATCTCGCAAGAAGAGTGTTCTTCCCACAATTTTTGACAAACTTCATCAACTTCGAATGCTGTTTCGCCGAGGGCAGTTCTAGTTGCGGGATGATGAAAGTACTGGTATTACAATTCTCCACGAACTCTTCCATCTTGGCGAACCCGTATTTACTTGGGACCATTTTTTCCTTCGCGAATTCAGAAATTTCCTTCTTCCGCCGATTGATGTCCTTGAAGATGTTGGTCAACATCTTCTTCTTCCTCGCGTGTGACGCCCCTCCAGCACAGAACAGATTCTGACTCGCAGAAGAGGAAGAGTTCTTGGAAGTTGTAGCTGAAAAAGCAGGTGAAAGCGATGCGAACCCGTGCGCGATTTGAAACTGGTGGAAGATGTTCGCGATGTCTGCGTCTGAAAAGTTCGCGGAAAGGTACGTGGCCAGGTGGGAGATGAACGCATCCGCGTTGTGCTTGTCGTACAGGAACAGGTAGCGAGTATTGTCATCCGTCCGGAACATTTTTTTGTCCAACCCGAATAATTTCAGCAGCTCCTTGATGCAGTGTTTCTTCTCGGCAATGAGCTTGAGCTCCTGTTGGTGGTGGCTCTCAGTCTCATAGTTATCATCTTCAAGTGAAGTTGTAAAATCTTCGTTCTTGTTACCCTCTGCGAGGGTCGTCGGAAAATCTTCGTCGTCGTCCTTGGCGTGCTGACTAACATCAAAACCACCTGCGGTCAACCTTCTCCGCTTCCTCGCCGGTCCGGTCACAATCGTATCCCGAGCGACGTGGTCTACCTCCTTTATTCCCTCTTTATTGCTGTCGTCCACCAGCTGCGCGGCCTTTAAATCCCCCAAGCGCCGCAACAAGTCTACTGCTTTTCGAGCGGACAAAGCTTCCTCGTCATCGTCTTGGAGATGAAGAGTTTTGCCCTCTGTCCGCCCACCTGTGCATTTATTTTATTCAGTTACTTTGCACGCATACATTGTTTCATCATGCTGGGGATCCGCATCTGCCCACTCATTTCTATCCATCCGAGTAGAAAAGGGAATCAATTCATCCAGCGAACAAGATTTGAATTTAGCTCGGGCTCGCGCGTGCGAGTTACGCCATGGCAGCGGTTTTATTTTTGAGAAGCCCTTGCACAGTGGTGTCAACACAAACGCGCATGTCCAAAGTAGTCCAACGTGTCCACGTTCAAGATGTGAGTCCAGCCTCCTTTCTTGGAGTTAGTGGTCGCTAAAAGCTACTTCGAAAAACCCACAGCGCGGGCCGCGCACGCGGCCCGGGACCCTAGTGACCCCGCTAAAAGCAGTTATCGAGAACTCGTTCTCGTATTGCTCAAAACCTTTCCTCACACCCGTGCATAGCACGCACGGCGGCTGTGTGGGGTGGTGTGTGTTTTTCGGGTCAGAGACCTCAGGACTTCTCGAAAGTTTATTACCGTAGCTCGTGCTACTTCCTGCTAGTTCAGATTTCTCTGGTTAGCAGGTAGCGGCTAGTCCGCCTCACGAATTTGCAGTAGTTGTTTCATCGGCATGTTTGTCACCGGCCCTGCGAATTCCCGCTGCCAGTTTATTAGCGGCGGCTTATCCATGGTCGGTTGCCACATGTCGATGGCCTGCTGCAGCTTGTCGCACCTTGAAAAGGGGTCCGCGCAGTTCAGCTCGCTCTTCACGTACTCGCACCACGAGCGGCAGCTGTATTCGTGGCACCACATCGCTGCCCGCGTACATATGTTCGTTGTCAGCAGCGAGTTGGCCGAGCATTTCACCGCGGCGCACAGCTCGCCGGTGTTGTCCACTCGGGTGAACGTTACCGAGTGGCTGAGCTCGTGTCGCCACGTCAGCTGCGCCACCCGGATCATCATCGCCTCGTAGTGTTCGATTGTGAGCGGGTGTTTGTAGTGCTCGCTCACGTCCGGGAAGTCGTACGTGATTGCCCGGATCTGGCCTGTTCCGGTTATTAGCAGCGCCCCGCCGCATGGTCCGCCCGCCTTGGAGCCGTTGCTGCTGGCGTCCAGGTTCAGCCAGTTTGTTTTCCCGTCGTGCACCTGTGGTTTTAGCACCAGGGGCTTCTGGTTTTTCAGCACTACCTGCACGCCGCGCAGGAGCACGGCCAGCTTGCGGCGCCGCGCTTTGTCCAGCACCCAGGCGTCGAACCGCTCGTCCGATCCCGTCCAGTCATATACTCCGCGGAATATTTCACTGCCTGCGCGGTAGGCGGAGTTGCAGACGATGAAGTTGGCTATGCCCAGCACGCGCTGCAGGTCCTTCATTGTCAGGCCTTGGCCCGCTTCGCACTTCTCGACGCAATGTTTCGTTTGTGTTAACGCCCTGTTCATGGAGTCCGCCGTCGGTTCAACTGTGATTTTGTTCATCTCTCTTCTCCAGAAGTAGTTGATGCCCAGCGCTTTGATGGGGTTGTGCTCACAGCTGTTTTGCGACGCTCCGGGCTTGTCGCTTATGACCAGCCCCAGCGTGCGCGCCATCTGGCGGTAGAGTTCTCGGCTAAGCATCAGCCCTTCTCGGTCCAGGGCCATGTAGTAGCCGTCGTCGATGTATATCACCGCTACCGCGTAGAAGTGGATCAAAATCGACATGCACAGCTCCGCGACCCTGCACCACGATGGAACGCTGTGCAGGTTGCCCATGTTCAGCACCAGCGCCAAGAAGTACTGGTAGGACATGGTGTGGCTTGACCACGCTGCTACCGGGTTGTGCTCCGGTATCTCACACCCGACCTGGTGGTAGGCGCCTTTGTAGTCCTCGCTGCCCAGTTCCACCAGCGGTTGTTTCGCGGTGTTGTGCGGTGTCTTTTTTATCGAGTTGTGCGCGTAGCGCGCTTCCTTTTTCACCCTGCTCACGTAGTCGCGTCCCGTCTTTTCGCCAAAGAAGGAGTCGCTGTGCGTCTGCTTTCTGTTGCGGAATTGTTCCAGGTGCTGCTGCATTTGCTCATAGACCTCCTTTTTCGAGGTGGTTGCGGGCATTCTGCAGCAGGCTTTTTCCTGTCCGACCGGTGCCATCATGGCCTGCGTCAGTTCCTGTATGACGCGGGTTCCGTAGAGCTGCAGTTTCTCCAGCAGCACCGAGTGCATGTTCTTCCTGCGCTCGTCCACGATTGGTCGTATTTTCCGAATTTCCTCTTTCGGAAATATATACGCGGGCACGCAGTGGAGCTGGTGCTCACTGATTTCCATGTTATGCCCGCGCTTGACCATCTGCATTTGTTCTTCTAGCACCGCGTCCAGTAGCTTGTCTGAGAACCCCTTAGGCTTCAGTTTGCGCAGCGTCACTCCGGCCTCGAAGATCGCGTCGATCTGTTCTTGTTCCAGCGGTTGCTTGGTTTCGTCGAGGCCCCACACGTTGGACTCGGTCTGGTTCCCGATGGTGGGGAAGCCCTTCAAGATCTGCTCTGGCAGCTTCTTGTCCGGGTGCCCGATCATCGCAGTCAAACGCCGCATCGCCGGTACGTTCCGCACCTGCCCGCTCTCGCTGACCAGCACGCGTTGCAGGTGCTTGGGCGCGTGTTCGCGTACCAGCTGGAGTGCCTCGCTCTTGGTCTCCAGCTCGATCTCCTTCAGTATTTCGATTCCTCTTCGCAGGTGGGCTTTCCACCTGCCGGGGTGCTGTTTACAGAGCTTTGCGTTTCTGTAAAGCTCCTCCCTGATGGTCTTGACCGCTCGGTCCTCTGCGATGCAGGCCTGTACGTAGCAGATGGCTTCGTGCGCCTGCACCTTGAGCTCCTCTGCCTCCGTCCAGTTCGCCGACGCGTACTGCATCTGTGCGGCCACCGGCGCTTCCGGTGGCGGTAGCTGCAGCTCTGCCGAGCTGTAGCCGAACCCACCATGCTTAGCGCGCTTAGCACGCGGCATCTGGGTGGCAGTTGGGGTGGTGGTGGGACAAACTTCACGATGTTGCCGCGCCGCAACGTTCGCGAGGTTCCCCGAGCGGAAACACCAACTAACCAACAGCAGTGTGTTCATGTGGACATACGCGTTTGCGTTCGTTGTGCGTGCAAATATCGATCGATCGAATCTCACTGATTGCTATAAACCCGATTGCTACTGGGATGGAGTGCACTTATTCGAATTGCATTACAGACTATACCTGGCGGACATTGGCTCGTGGCGCAGGCTGTCCGCCCACCTGTACATTTATTTTATTCAGTTACTTTGCACGCATACATTGTTTCATCATGCTGGGGATCCGCATCTGCCCATTCATTTCTATCCATCCGAGTAGAAAAGGGAGCCAATTCATCCAGCGAACAAGATTTGAATTTAGCTCGGGCTCGCGCGTGCGAGTTACGCCATGGCAGCGGTTTTATTTTTGAGAAGCCCTTGCACAGTGGTGTCAACACAAACGCGCATGTCCAAAGTAGTCCAACGTGTCCACGTTCAAGATGTGAGTCCAGCCTCCTTTCTTGGAGTTAGTGGTCGCTAAAAGCTACTTCGAAAAACCCACAGCGCGGGCCGCGCACGCGGCCCGGGACCCTAGTGACCCCGCTAAAAGCAGTTATCGAGAACTCGTTCTCGTATTGCTCAAAACCTTTCCTCACACCCGTGCATAGCACGCACGGCGGCTTTCGCCATACGTGCCCGAAGCTCTGCTCACTGCATATCCTGGTCGTCGGCCTCCAGCTGCAGGTCTGCTTCTTTCGCCACACGTTTCCTGACGACTTTGTCGCCGAGCGTGCGCTTGCACGGTGGAATTCGGAGGCGCTTCTTGTTGTTCACACCCTTGTGCTTTATTCCATCCACTTCGCAGTCACATGCCGG